TGTTTTTGGTGAATATTTTTCCAATTAATCATGTTGTTGTTGTTGTTGTTGTTGTTTGTTATCAAATTCCTACATATTTGATAAATGATAAATAGAATGGCAACCAATATAATTTTATGGTCATTATAAAAAGCATTTTACCATACACCGATACACAAATGTGATGTTTTTTTCATTTATTATTTATTGTTGTAAATATCATCATTATCATCATCCGCATCCGTATTCAAATCATTATCATCATCATCATCATTAACATCCGCATCATTATAATGTAAACATCTCATTAAACAGGAATATTCCTTTAAATTGAATCCGTTAGAAAAAAAAATTAAAGAAATTTTGATGGTAGGTGGTCAGTGTGTTTATTGTGTGTGTGTCACATTTGGTGAATAACAGAAAAGTTTTCATTCAGTTTGTTTGTTCATTTGAAGGACATTATTATTTTGGAATATTTTCCAAAAATTTTTTTTTCCAAATGGATTTTTTTCATTATTTTTTTTTTTTGATTGAAAAAAGCTATTGATGATTGACTGGCCTGTTGTAAGCAACAGCAACAGGTAATAAGTTTTTTTTTCAGTTTTGTTGTTTTGCTGCTTCAAAATAAGTTTACAGAAAAAAAAACTTCCTACTCTACACAATTTTTCATCATTTTCCATGATAATCATTTTGTTTGATATTGGGGGAAAAAAGAAAAGAAGAGATGTGCTTGTTCTGTTTTGAATCGACAAAATGATGTATGGATTTTTTTTTTTTTTTTTTTGGTCGGATGGAAAATTGATTCGCTTCTCCTCATCCTCATCATCATCATAATCATCANTTTTGTTGTTTTGCTGCTTCAAAATAAGTTTACAGTAAAAAAAAAACTTCCTACTCTACACAACTTTTCATCATTTTCCATGATAATCATTTTGTTTGATATTGGGGGAAAAAAGAAAAGAAGAGATGTGCTTTTTCTGTTTTGAATCGACAAAATGATGTATGGATTTTTTTTTTTTTTGGTCGGATGGAAAATTGATTCGCTTCTCATCATCATCATCATCATCATAATCATCAATGAAGGATATTTTTTTCATGAAGAGTTGAGTTTCAACAACAAAAATGAAATGAAAAACACATCACTCTTCGTGTGTGTGTGTGTGTGTGTAATATTAGATGGTTTTTTTTTCGTTGACATGTTTTTTTTTCTTCATTGATTGAAAATCGGTGACAATTTTCGTTTTTTGTTGTTGTTGCTGAGTTTATTCGAACGGAAATACTTGATCTGATTGTCCGGATATTCGCTTGATAGATCGTTGTTCATGAATTTTTTTTCGTACGAAACAAAATGAGAAAAACAAAAAATATTCAAGATCGAATCAAGTGAAATTCAGAAAACAAAATTTTCTTTGAAAACAAAATAACTAAATCACACCCACGCATCTAATCCATCATCAACATGGATGAATGACAAAATGTTTCATTTTCATTTGACTGAATGAATACAAACAAACTAGGAACTTGTCGCTTTCGTTTAAGTTTTGAAGATGAAATTTAATCTCTTTTTTTGAATCCATTTTTTTCTTGCTTTGTATCCGGTCGGTCAGTCGGTCGCACCCATGTAATAAACGGGAAAATTTTCGGAAATATTTTTTTATCATCAAAAAATGATGATGACGATTAATGTACGAAAAAAAACGACAAAATTTTTCTTTATTTCGTTTCATTGTAAGGATTTGATGATGATGATTATAGCCATACACATATTTTGTTGTGATTCTTATCATCATTCTCTTTGTTTTTTTTCTCGGACAAAATGTTGTTGATATTTAATCGATGATTATTTAAAAAACAAAAACAAAACGCGTGATAATCATCTTAACATCATAACATCACACACACAATAATAATAAAAAACTTTTCGGAAATTTTATTCGTATGATTTTAATCTTCAAAATAAAGAAAAATTATTTGGAACAATTTTCTTCCCAGAAAGATTCTCAAACCTCGATCAAAAAAAGAACAACATGATCGTGCCTTTCACATCACATTTTTTGTAATAATCCAGAAATTTTACAGAAGAAAAAAAAATTATTTGATAAAATCATTTTTCTGATTCCAAACTGATAATAATACTAATGTTTATATAAAACAAATCAAATATGATGATGATCATCATCATCATCATCATAAATCAAAAATCATAATAGACTTTTTATCTTTGAGAAAAACAAAACAAAAAGATTTTTGTTGTTTTTTCTTTTTTTGAAGACAAATGATGATAGATGACAAAAAAATCTTGCAAAGAAAAATGATTCTCTTCAAATCTTTTTTTTTCAATTGGCCAAAAGGCCGTGTCATAGATTGTATCAAAGGAGAAAACAAAATTCATTGTAATTTTAATATGGAAACCCTATGTATGATGATGATGATGATGGTTATAATAATGTTTTTTTTTCCATTTTTCATCGTTGATATTATCATCATCATCATCATTCGTTGGTCAAAACGATTATAACCATGGTGATGATGATGATAACGATAATTAATTTTATTTATTTTCATTTTCCATTCTGTAATTTTATAAGATGTTTTTATCACTATTATTTTCATTCATATTTTCAAATTGTCATAGGTATTTGGAGAAAAACGTTATTTGGAACTGTGGAAAAAAAAATGAGAAACTGTTTTCTTTTTCCCTTCATTCAAAAAATGATAATTGCTTGACTTGGATTCATTGTTGTTGTTGTTGTTGTTATGTGGTCAATCTTCATGAACAACAACAACCGAACTGCTGAACAAACTAAAACATATAATACAATGAGAGATAGCCTCAACCTCAATTCGTTTTTTCTTATCATTTTTTAAATATACAATTCATAAATATAGATGTTGTTGTTGTTGTTATTGTTTTAAAAAGAATGGATTCCAATTTTGTAATTTTTTTTTTACTTTTAAATTGAAACAAAACAAAACAAAAAAAAATTGAGAAAATTAATCGTTTTGTTTGTAAAACAGCCAAAACAATAGATTTAACACTTTGTCCATATTGTAATTTTTTTTCTGTTTTGTTTAAAGGGCAACAATTTGTTGTTGTTGTTTTTTTGGATAAAGAGAAACAACAATTTTTTTGGAATAACAAATTAATTCATTATTGTTCGGCAAAAACATATATATGAATTTCTAATAAAACAAATTCATTGTATTCATTTCATTGCCATTCATTTGAATGTTCCTAAAACAATATATGCATGGATTTACATTTTCCATTCAAAAATTTTTAATCAAATCGATCGATCAATCAAATTGAGATTCACATTTGAGATAACCAATTTTGTTCCGATCGAAGAAACAAAATATGTATCACACACACACACATGAATATCATTTGATGATAATCTTTTAAAGATAATCAATCTTTTGATTTCTTTCTCTATTTCTCCAGTTGATTTTTTGGCCATTTTTTTTCTTGAATAATAATAATAATAATAATAATAATAATAATGATCAATGACATGGTCAATATCTTATATGTCTGTGTCTGTATATATGACAGGTGATTACAGGTGTGTTACATAGACACACATGATGATGATGATGATTGTAGCAAATGATTTGGATCAAATCCAAATGGATCTAAATGGCAATAATAATAATAAAATTCTCAATTCAAATCTTATCAAAAAAAACAAAATAAATGAAAACTTGTTTCGCGCTTCAATTCGTTTTCCTGTCTTTTTATTTTTTTCTTTGACGATCTTTATATCTCTCTATATGTCCCGGTGGTGGTAAATATCGAATCATTGACGCGTGTTACCATTTTTCGTTTTTTTTGCTTATTTTCTTCCAATGATTTCATCAGCTCAAAAAACGTTATTTCGTTTGATTTCATTTCATTTTTTTTCATTACTTTGATTTTGTCGACAAAAAAATAAAAAAATAAAATCACGACAACTTCCCGTGTAACACGAGTTGTATGGTTGTCAAAGAAAAAAAGGTGAAATTTTTTTTAAAAGAAAATTATTTCATTATGATTTTCTCTTTTTCTCGGTGAATGTTTTGGATATACTTGTGTAATATGGTGTGTGTGGAAATGAAATGATAATAATTTATTTTTTTTTCATTGCCAACCTTGTTTGGTTGGCCAGCTTCAATTAAGCTTGAATTTTTTTTAATTTATTATTTGAATTTTGTAAAATAATAATGTCATGGTGTAATTGAAATACGACACACAAATACGATCAGATTAATAATAATATGTGTGACATTTAAGAAAATTTCATTTTCATTTTTTATTCCAAATCTAACTAAGTTTGTTTTTTGCAAAATTTTTCTTTTTTGACAGTTTTTTTTCATCTGGCTTTGGATTTTGGCTATCGAATTGCAATTTTGGAATGAATTTTGAATGAATTTATTTTTTTCCACAAAAAAAACGAAAACAAAGATCAAAAAGTGTTCAAATCAAATCAAATCAATCGATAATCAATCAATTATTTCGTGATTTTTTTTTAAATTCTACAATTTTTTTACACATTTTTCTCATTCTGTCATGTTTGAATCTTATTTATTTTCCAAAACCAAAACGATTCGATCATCACCGATTACATCATCATTATTATCATCATCATCAACATTATCATTGCCATTAAAATCAACAACAAAATTAAAATCATTGACATTAATAAATGAACGAAAACGACGACGAAGATTGTTCAATAATTATCCACCACCACCACCACCACAACAACAAAAACAACATTCAACAAAAAGTGGACATCATAATAATAATGATGATGATGATAATAATACAAATATTGTGGATGGATATCGTAAAACAAAAGAACATTTCATTACAACCAACACCATCAACAACGATTTTATTCAAAAAAATTCCAATAATGATCGATTATTATCATCGATTATTGTTGCAAATAATCATCATTATCATCAAACCACCATCATTACCAATAATAAAACAACAACAACAAAAAGAAAATCTAGGATGGCATCATCATCTAGATCACCACCATCATCATCATCATCATCATTATTAACATCATCATTTTTATTATCAACAAATAATGGTCGAAATGAAAAATGGATTAAATTTAATCAAACAATTTGTTTTAGTTTACTAGTCTTTCATCTATTAGCAACAACAACATCATCAATTTTTTGTCTAACAATTTTAGATAAAACAACAACACCAACAACAACAGATTCCATTGCCAAGTATCCCGTAAGTAATTTTCAATTTAGAAAATGAAAATTTTAAAAGAAAACCCCTACCTATATAGACCATAGTGATTTTTCTAAATCAAATTTTCTATTGTTTCAAAAATTTTTTTTCGCTATGGGCGTCAGGCTTTTTTCTCTTTGACTTAAATTGATAAATGATTGATGATTGAATAAATTTTGGAAGAGAAAACATTGTCCATTGTTTTCTGAATTCAATTAAGATGAGACTTTTTCCTTAGACCAAAAATCAAAATTGAAATTTCAAAAAGTTTCAAAAATTTAAATTTTGTAACAAAAAATAACAAAGACGATTTGTCTGCCATCTGATGATGAACAATATAAATTGTAAAATTTAAACTTTTTTTGTTTCCGTTTTTTTTTTGTTTGTAATTCTCGTTTAGATTCATAAACACATGTCCAAACAAGATCTCCTTTCAGTGTTTTATGTCGACTCTCATGATAAAGGTAAGATTTTTTTTTTGGTTTTTTATTTGGCCACTAAAAAACGGATTTTGAAATAATTATTTAAATTTGAATTTGAATAGTGCCCGAATATGAATTATCCAATATTCGTTTGTTGACCAAAAGATCAATACAAGAACAAAATGATAATGATAATAATGATAATAATAATGATAATGGTGAACAACATCGACATGAAGTATATTTGAAAGCATTTGGAAGAAAAATGCGTCTAAAATTACAAGATAATAATGATTTTAATGAAAGAGTTAAAGATATGAAAGTGATTTTAGCTGAAACATCACGTAATGGTAAATTACAATATGTTGAAGATTTAACAGCTGCTGTAAGTTTTTCAAATTTTGATAATTTGTTCAATGAAATTTCATGAACTGTTTTTTGTTTGGAAAAAAAAGGATACAAAAAATGTTGGCACTAGTTTTCATGATAAAGACAATATGGCTGCAATAGTTCTTGATCATGATTCCAGAGGCAAAGTACGATTGGTAAGTTTTGTTTTTTGATATTTTTTGTTGAATAAATTAATAATTACGACTTTTTTGCACCGAAAAAACAAAATTTTTAATTAATTCGACCTCCATATGAATTAATTATCATTATATCAATGACCGCCATTCCATTTGAATGAAATTGTAATTCAAAAGCATGGAACAATTGGCAATGATCTTGTGATAAAACCTATACCTGAAACAATCGATAATCATAATAAATTATTCAATGAAATGGATAATAATGATAATGTTGTCGATACGGATAATAATAATAATGATGATGATGATGAAATGTTTTTAAATGATGATGATTTTAAACAATTTAAACGACAACAACATTTAAATCATAATAATCATAATGATTATGATGGTATTAATCATCCACAATCGATGGTAAATTCATCAAGAAAATTAACAAATGATAATATTCATATTATTTTTAAACGAAAATTACATCAAGATTATCCACAGCCGCCAACCGATTTCGGTAGGTTTTTTTCGGGTTGTTGTTGTTGCTGAATTTAATTTTTTGTTTTGTTTTTTTTGTAGCCGTGTTAGAACAAGGTGATGAAACCAATGCCAATATATTATCACCACAATGGTTAGGTAGTTTTAATGAAACAATAATGAAACGAACGGCACGTCGAAAACGACAAGCACCCGGTACTGTTTGGCCAGAAGTATTATTGGTTGTTGATTATGATTCATTTATGTTACATGGTGCAACAAGTCGTGATGTGAAACGTTATTTTATTAGTTTTTGGAATGGTGTGGATCTTCGTTATAAACTATTGGCACATCCACAGATTCGTGTCAGTTTGGCCGGAATGATTGTTGCAAAGGTTTGTTACAATTTTTCAATTTAAAAAAATTGAAAAATTAATCCTTCAAACATTTAGGATCGAGATGCAACACCTTATTTGGAACGAAATCGTTTACGACCACCAAATGCTGATGCAGTTGATGCTGCCGGTGCATTAACCGATATGGGAAAATATCTTTATCGTGAAGATCGTTTACCAACATATGATATGGCCGTTGTTATTACTAAATTAGATATGTGTCGTCGACGTTACGAAGGTGGACGATGTAATCGTGGTACAGCTGGATTTGCCTATGTTGGTGGTGCTTGTGTTGTGAATAAACGTTTGGAAAAAGTGAATAGTGTGGCCATTATTGAAGATAGCGGTGGATATAGTGGAATTATTGTTGCTGCACATGAAGTTGGTCATTTGTAAGTAATGTTTTTCAATTTAATTTGAGTGTTACGTGTTTAGGTCTACTTCAATCCAATCGATCAAAATTTTTAACATCGTTTTTTTTCTAACTTAGACTTGGCTGTGTACATGATGGTTCACCACCACCAAGCTATCTTGGTGGTCCTGGTGCTACTCGATGTCCATGGGAAGATGGTTTTATTATGAGCGATCTACGTCATACTGAACGTGGTTTCCGTTGGTCAACCTGTAGTGTGGAACAATTTAAACATTTTTTAAAGTCAGTATTATTATCTTGTTCTTGTTGTTGTTGTAGTTATTCTTATTTGATTTTATTTTTTTTTTCATCAAATCATCCATTAATGACAATAGTGGTGAGACGGCAACTTGTCTTTATAATTTTCCACATGAAAATCAATTATTACCACGAGTTTTACCTGGCTCAATGCTTTCATTGGATGAACAATGTAAACGAGATAGAGGAACAAATGCCTGTTTTGTATGTTTTTGATTGTTATTCTTTTTTAAATTTTTTCATTTGAATCATTTTTTTTCATTCAAAACTTTACAGAAAGATTCACGTGTTTGTGCACAATTGTTTTGTTTTGATAGTGCTTCTGGTTATTGTGTTTCATATCGTCCAGCTGCTGAAGGTTCATCATGTGGTGATGGCCAGGTAAATTATCTTATTGTTTTTGTTCAATATTTCAATCAATTTTATTAATTTTAGATTTGTCGAAATGGTAAATGTTTAGCTGAAATGGAAAATATAATACCAGATTATTCACATGTACAACAATCAATACGAGCAAAACCGGATAGAATATTATCACGTATTGATGCTGCACCATCACCACCATCACCAATGCATATACCTCCATTTCGACGATTTCCACGTCGTGATCCATTTTTTCATCATCGTCATAATAATAATAATTTCTTTCCACATGCAGCCGCATCCGAACAAATTGATATTGATGACAATAATGGCCACCACCAACACCAACAACAGCATTAACATCAACGATAATAATGATGCCAAAAATCTTTTCCATCAAGTTCCCCCTCGAAAACAAAAAAAAAAGAAAAAAGAAAATAATTTCAAAAAAAAACACACTAAAAGATTTGTTGCTATTGTTGTTGTAATTGTAAATTTTCATTATAGATTTGCAATTATTTTAATTAATTATTATCATTATCTTGGCTGTGATAAATCCAAAAATATACAACAACAACAACAACAACTACAAATACAGAAAGTTTATTGTTATCAATGATCAGGATTCCATTATAATCAAATAAGATTATGTAAATTACATAGTAGTAGTCGAAAATCGCCACTAAAATTACACACGCCACAACATTCAACACCTGTGATACAGCGTGCATATAATTATAATTATCATCTAATCTATTTTATTATTATCATCATCATCATGATTATCATTTGCAAATAGATATCTCGGGGATTTTCAAATGGGGGAAAAAACACTGACAAATTTACACAAGCACACACACATAAAATGTGGGAAGGGAGAATAAATAGTTAAAACTAAAACAAAATTTAATCAACAGAAAGCCATTAACCATGATTAATACTTGAATCCGGAAAATTCTTTTTTTTTCCAGAATTCGAAGAAATGTATGTAATGCCATTTTAAAATAGTTTATTAACAGTAGTAATATAACAAACAAACACACATAATAATTTTATTAGATGTTAAAATAATTGATTCATTTTTACACACTTTTTACTTTTCATTCATTTGTATTATAGATGTTATTTTTTTTCAATGTTTCTAATTTTTTTTTTTGTAAAATTAATTTCCAAATCTATTTTGATTATATATCCACAATTTTGATTTAAATTTTCCTGTTGTTGTTGTTGTAATTCTAGCTAATTTTGTTTGTTTCTTATATGTGTGGAACAGGTGTGTATTTTTGGCAGTAAAAATTCTTATTTTTTTCTGCTTTGTTTTTTGTTGTTGTTGTTGTTTTGTTTTGTTTATTGTTGTTACATCCAGGAATTGTATTTTTTTAAAATGTTTATTTCCGTTTTTCGTATATAAAAAAAAATTTTTTTTCATTCAATTCCATTCAATAATTTAATTGTCGGCAATCATAATCATCATCAAAAGGATTACGGATTAAAATTATCATTAAACGTGCCCAAAGAAAAAATTATCATCACCAATATCATCCATCCAAATATTTTTTTTATCATTGTACCATCGATAGGTGCTGCCATCGTGCCATTGATAAACGTTTCTTTTTTTTTCGTTGATTTTAACCGATTGGAAAAATTCGGTGCTATATATAAATATATTACACACACACACACTCATTATGTGTATACAGATATCATAATTTGGCATGGATAATTTTGTTTTGTATTCAATTCAATGACGTATTACATATACGTTGTTGTTGTTGTGGAAAAATTTCTGGCATTTACGCGCACACCGAATATAAAACTCTCATTTATTCACATGATGATGATGATCATGGCCCACCAATTATCGTACCAATCAACCTTCAATCTTTAATTTTTTTTGTTTTTAGTTTGATATTCAATCTTTATAGATTTTAGGATCGTAATACGTTACAACATTTATTTAAACAATATATATTCAATGAAAAAGTTCAAGTTCATGATTTAAAAAATCCATTTTCATCCTTTTTTCTTACATCCATCCTTATCATTTGTTGTTGTTGTTGTTGTTGGTGATTGGTTTGATTTGGTTTTCGACAAAAGAATGGCCAACGAAACCAATGATGTATGGGTATTTGCTTATGGATCATTAATTTGGAATCCTGGTTTTGAATATAAAAAAGTTATTATCGGTTGTATTCGTGGATATTCAAGAAGATTTTTTCAAGGTAGTGATCAACATCGTGGTTCACCTGAATCGGTAATGTTTTTGTTTTTTTGATGATTCGATCATATTTTTATTAAAATTTTGTTTTGTTTTCTTTTTTACAGTTGGGTCGTGTGGCCACTTTAATCGAAGATGAACAAGGCTCCACCTGGGGATTAGCATTTTTGATTGCCGATGATCAAACAGCATTGGAATATTTAAAACAACGTGAATCATGTATTGGTGGCTATACAACAATAATGACAAAATTTTATCCAAAAGATCGTCGAATCAAAGAATCAATACAGACATTAGTTTATATTGCATTACCATCGAATCGATTATTTCTTGGTCCTAGTCCACGATTAGCTGATGAAATTGCTCAAGCCAAAGGATTTTGTGGTTATAATGTAGAATATCTAGCCAAATTAATTGCATTCATGAAAATTGAACTGCCACATATTATTGATGAACATCTACAACAAATAGAATTACAAGTGAAACAAATTCTTCAACAAAATAATCCAAATTTATTGAAATTTTTTACCGAAGCAATTGATTTATGGCTGAACAATACAATATTAACCTCAAATGAAACAATGATTATGGATTCATTGAAAACAACAACCATTATTAAACCATTATTGATCAATAATAATAATCGTATGATTGATAATAATGGTAAAGTGCCTAAAAAACAACAATTACGTTGTATGATTAAGTATTGAATTCATTATTTTTTAGGAACATTGTTTTCTTTTCTTTTCTTTGTTGTATATGTGTGTTCAAACAAAAAAATTTTTTTTAAATATTTTAATCAATTATTTAATCAATTCAAATATGATAGGGTTTTCTAAAGATGTTTTTAAACATTTTTTTTTTAATTTTCAAATTGAAAATAAATATTTTTTGAGAATCGGAAAATTTTTCTGAAAAATAAATTTGAAAGAAGGAAAAAAAAGTTCCCGGAAAAACTATTGTATATTTTGTTTTTTGATATTCGAATTCTTTTTTTTTGTGGATTTTAAATTATCCGATTACATCATGGAAAATGAATCCAGTAAAACTTTAATATCGAATCCGGTATTTGTTTCGAATGAAAAAATTTCCGTCAAAGAATTTATTGAAAAATGGAAAAATAATCTGTCCGAAGAATTATCTTGGATCGATCATAAGGATGATGATCTAACTGAAATGACTGTCAATCAATTGGATAGACCATTACAATTTATTAAATCATTAAAACGAAGTTTTAATCTGGATAAATTTACCGATACTTTAATCAAAAATAGTAATCTTAACGTTGAAGTGGGAACATCGGAATCAAAATTCGATTCAAATCGTCATTCGAAAAATAAATATCGTCATAAATGGTTGAATAAAACGATCAATGTTAATGATAAACATTCGGATCAATGTGATCATAATAATCCATTAGCTTTATTGACTGTACAGATATTTCGTCCTGCTTATAAACATTCATCCAAAATGAAACTACAATTAGATCGTGAATATGAAATACTTTCCTGTCAAAAATTAACCGTTTTACGTGATTCTTATTTCTGTCTATCCGATATGATACATCAATCGGATTATAGTGAAAATCCTGACAAATCAGTACCGAAAAAAATGAAATGTCATGAAAAAACTGGCCTTTATTTTATCGATGATATATACTATTATGATGATCGTTTTGAATTGGAATCATTTGATACGATTTTTGAATGGTCAAAAACATCATCAGCATCATCATCATCAAAAAAATCCACTGGCTTTACAAAAAAATCAATGAACGAAACACGTTTCGAAGATTTAAATATTCGTCTTGGCTATCCATATCTTTATATACATCGTAATAATTGTGAACATTTACTTGTATTCACTGATATTCGTTTGTTTATACCGAAAATCGAACAAAATATTGTTGATGATTATCCTAAATTTACAATAATGGAAAATCTTATATCGATTAAATGTCAAATGTGTCAATTATATTCATCTAAATGGATAACAATGGATAATAAACGTTTACCATTATCACCATATTATTTTTGTCATAATTGTTTTGTTACATTTAATTATGATCAAGATTTGAAAAAAATTGGTTCATTTCGTGCATTTCCATTACTTTGGGATATTAATTAATCAATCAATTGATAATGCCATTTTAAAACCAAACAAAACAAAGATTACAATTGTACAAATTATAAATCAAAATTAAAATGGAAATCTTTTTATTTCATTTATAAATGGGAAAAAGAATTTGTTTAAAATATTTTCAATCTCTAAATTTTCATTTTTTTTTTTAGAAGTGGGAAGATGGTGTTTATGTGTATGTGTGTGTGTTACAATTGTTAAATTCAAAATTACAAAAAAAAAAATTTTTTTTCATCAATTTAAAGTAAATTCTATCGAGAGAAAAATTAGATTAATGAAAATGAATTATAGTAGTGGGTATATGAATTACTTTTTGTTTTTTTTGTAAAGGGTATGAAGAAGAGAAAAAAAAATGTGAAATGGAAAGAAAAATAGAGATGAAAGAAAAAAACAGAAAATGTTTGAAGAATTTAATCAACTTCTTCCATACGTGAAACATCAGCAGCTTGTGCTTGACTATCAGGTACAGTTGGTTCAACCATAACATCACCACCATCATCGACAACATTTTCATCTTCATCGATACCCAAACCAAGTTTGATCATACGATAAATACGTGAAGCATGTGTTTGTGGATCTTCCAAACCAAAACCCGAACAAAGCAATGCAGTTTCGAACAATAAATTGACCAAATCTTTAACCGATTTATCATTTTTATCGATTTCAACTTTTTGTCGAAGTTTTTCAACAACCGGATGATCAGGATTGATTTCCAGATTCTTTTTTGCTGCCATATAACCCATTGTAGATGAATCACGTAAAGCTTGAGCTTTCATGATACGTTCCATGTTGGCACTCCAACCATATTGGCTAGTTACAATACAGCATGGTGATGATACTAATCGATTTGAAACCAATACTTTTTCAACTTTTTTATCCAATATATCTTTCATTGCTTTGCAAAGATCTTCAAAACGTTTTTTATCTTCTTCAAGTTTTTTCTTTTCGGCTTCATCTTCGGGCAATTCAAGACCTTCTTTGGTTACAGATACCAATGTTTTACCATCATATTCTTTCAATTGTTGGACACAATATTCATCGATTGGATCAACCATATAGATTACTTCATAGCCACGTTTACAAACACGTTCAACAAATGCTGAATGTGCAACAATATCTCGAGATTCACCAGTAATAAAATAGATATGTTTTTGATTTTCTTTCATTCGAGATACATAATCTTTCAATGAACAGATTTCATCACCCGAAGATGAAGTATGATAACGTAAAAGATCGGCCAATTTTTTTCGATTAGTAGTATCTTCATGAATGCCAAGTTTGATGTTTTTACTGAATTGTTCATAGAATTTTTTGAATTGTTCTTTATCATCATTCAATTCTTCGAACAATTCTAAACATTTTTTTACCAAATTTTTACGAATAACTTTAAGAATTTTATTCTGTTGAAGCATTTCTCGAGAAATATTCAACGGCAAATCTTCACTATCAACAACACCTTTGATAAAATTCAAATATTCGGGAATCAATTCTTCACAATTTTCCATGATGAATACACGTCGTACATATAATTTGATGTTATTTTTTTGTTTTTTATTTTCAAACAAATCGAATGGTGCACGTTTCGGTATGAACAATAATGCACGGAATTCCAATTGACCTTCAACCGAAAAATGTTTAACAGCCAAATGTTCATCCCAATCATTGGTAAGACTTTTATAAAATTCACCATATTCTTCTTGACTGATTTCATCGGGATTACGCATCCAAAGCGGTTTCGTTTTGTTCAATTCTTCTTCATCATTATATTTTTCTTTAATCATTTTCTTTTTTGGTTTCTTCTCTTTTTCTTCATCAACATCTTCGATTTTAGCATCATCCGGTTCTTTTTCTTCACCATCATCTTTTTTCTCTTCATCGGTTTTCTCTTTATCATCAGCAGCCGGTTCTTCTTCATCATCGGATATTTCTTTTTCACGTTCTTTTTGCACCATCAATTTGATTGGATAAGCAATAAATTGTGAATGTTTTTTCACAATCTCTTTAATACGACGTTCTTCACCATATTCGATTTGATCTTCTTTAAGATGAAGAATGATTTTTGTACCACGACCTAATGGTTCAGAAGAATCCGGTCGAATAGTAAATGATCCACCAGCAGCAGATTCCCAAATATATTGTTCATCATCATTATGTTTGGAATGGACGGTAACTTTATCGGCAACCAAATAAGCAGAATAAAAACCGACACCAAATTGACCAATCATCGATATATCGGCACCAGCTTGAAGTGCTTCCATAAATGCTTTGGTACCGGATTTTGCAATAGTACCAAGATTGTTGATCATATCGGCTTTTGTCATACCAATACCGGTATCAATAATTGTCAATGTTTTTTCATCTTTATTCGGAATGATACGAATATACAATTCTTTTTGTTCACCCAATTTACTCGGATCGGTCAATGATTCATAACGAATTTTATCCAATGCATCCGATGAATTCGAAATCAATTCACGAAGAAATATTTCTTTATTACTATAGAATGTATTGATGATCAAGCTCATAAGTTGAGCAATTTCGGCTTGAAAAGCAAAGGTTTCGATTTCCTGTTCTTCAGGCATGATGATAATGATGATTTATATTGAGATTAATTTGGATTTAATTAAAAAAATCGAAAATTAAACGGAATTAAGACGAGAAATAGAAAAAAAAACTTTAAAAAGATGACGATGAAAAAAATGATGATTGAATTTCGAACGATTTTTTTTAAAGCAAAGCAAACGTACGACAATCGAACAATGAATGAATGAGAAAAAATGTGTGCATGCGGTGTGCTTTTTTATAAACGGCCTGGCTTAAGTTTCTAGAAAATTCTACAACATTGTCGAATACATAAGGTTTTCGAATAACTATCGTCATTATAATTGGAATGGATTGATTAAAATTCATCAAACTTTTGGATTCTGGATTATTTTTTGATTTGCTTTCATTTGATTCGGATAATCCGGATATTTAATTAGTTTAAATAATTTTAATCAATGATTTTATCTAAAATTATCATACACTAGTTTATGAATAGGACCAGAAAAAAAGGCGTTGATTTCGAATGAATGAATTTGATTCGAAATTGAATCGAATTCTATGGAGACTGTGCAGTTTGTTTGTGCTAAACAAAAAGAAAAATCGCCAATCATGAATCATCGTGTTTGATGATTTGCGTTAAAGTTCGAAGCGAAAAAAAAAATTTGAAATTCAATTAACATTATTGATCCATTGGATAGTAAAATGAAAGTCAAAGTAAAAAGTAATCAAGAATTGATGACTGTTTTTGATTTTTTTAATCTAATGATTTCAATTTTAATTGATTATTACAGATTGGTCAGCTGTTGCAATATGGAAATGGATTGCTAATGATGATAATTGTGGTATTTGTCGAAATGCATTTGATGGTTGTTGTACTGAATGTAAAATGCCCGGAGATGATTGTCCATTAGGTGAGTTTGATTTTTCGAATTAAATTCTACAAAATTGACACGTTTTTATTAATTTATGTAACAAGTATGGGGAAAATGTTCACATTGTTTTCATATTCATTGCATTATGAAATGGTTAACATCACAAAATGTACATCAACAATGTCCAATGTGTCGACAAGAATGGAATTTTAAAGAATAACAAAAAAATCAGTATTATTTAATTCAAATAATGGTCCCATTTAAAAAAACATAATTATTTCAACAATTTAACATGATAAAAATTCAAATAAATTCAACAACAAAAAAAATAATCAACAACAGAATCAGAAATGATCATATCTTAAGAAGATTCAATGTTTTACGTACAGCATCGATTGATCTGTATGCAATCAAACCTTTTGAATGATTACAATCAAAATTCTTCATGGTCATTGTCTTTTCCTTATATCTTATCTGTGAATGTTCAAGATATTTATCAATATTATCATTGTTTATTTGGATAAAATTTTCAAATGGTATAATACCACCACCAATAGATCGTAAAATTGCATGAATTGCACATGTATCCCAATAATATGTTGATTTTGATGATGTTAATAACAGATCAGCTTTACCTATTGCTACATTCAATAATTTATGTCCAGCACCCGCAACATACATTGTTTTGGCAAATCTATTGATTCTTTCTTTTAATTCAATATTTTCTTTACCACCAATCAAAATGATACCGGAATCAGATTTAATCATTGATTCATCAATATTATTACGGCTAATATGATCAATATTATAACCCCAAATATATCGACCTTCATATGATCCATCATTATGTTTTCGATAAAATGGTTGATTACAAACACCGATAATTGGCATACCAGTTCTAGTATCAAATACACCGAATAAACATGTTACACAATGAAGACCTTTTGGTATTAATTTCGTTTGATCACTTGTATTGTTCCATTGGCCTTTAATATATTCAGATGTTGAATCTATTTGATTGATCAATGAATAATTGTGATTATTATTAAAATTGTATTTGGTGTACATACCGATTGGATCAATCCAAACAGCTATATCTGATAGTTCCAAACTTATTGATGGCAAATCACTATCATATTGTACAGAATTATTTATGGTCGACGATGATGATGAAGATGATGAATAAATAACTTGAACTAATTTCTGTGATACACTAGTATTATAATCAAGAATTTTTACAAAATTTTCATAAGTAATTTGTTGATCATTTCCAATCTGTATCGATATTTTTTCTCCTAATTTATTCTGAAAATGATTACTTTCTTCACCATAGATTTGTTTTGAAAATCCTGGAAACTATATTTAAAAAAAAAATCATTAATCAAATCAATCCTATTAATTTAAATTGGATTTTGGCAAAAAAAAAATCAAACCTTTGCTTCTAAACAAAATTTTGCCATTTCCTGTATGAGAACATCGGCAAATGTTTTATAATCATGTTGAAAACGTGGATTTTTACCATCATCATTATTGATTTTTTCCTGTATTAATATTCGAAATAGACCATCATTATCATCACGACATATTCTTGATATTTGTGCCGATTTTTCTGCCACTTGAATCAATTCTTCAAGTAATTCATGTACGAGTATTTTCATTGTATTTTTTTTTTTTGCTATCAAAGTGGATCACTTAAACACAACACACACTATATATATACGATGAAGATTGTTCCAAACAATTTCAATATTTTTATAAATCAATTTACATTCAAATGAAATTGGCCAGTTGTGTAATATGTGAATGTGTGTGTTTGTTATATTATAGTTTAGGATGTCAAAATGAGAAAAAAGGACAACAATAACAACAACAGAAACAGCGACGACAAAGAAAACAACAGCAGTAGCATCAAATATATATATAACGGCACTTGTTGGCCATATATTTTCCCATACACACAAAAGACTGACTCTAATGAATTCAATCTTAAATTTTATTTATTTTTTTTCCTGGTTTTTGGAGTTTGCTCACTTAGATATCATTTTTTTTTTTAAATATATAAATTTCGTTGATTTGTTTCTCCTGAGAGCATCACACAAAGCAATGATATTATCCATTGAAACAAAAAAAAAAGATTCGCTAATCACATATAAAACACGCATTATTATCGTGATTTGTATTGATTCGATTACACAGTATATCGAATCCATTCATTTCCTATTGGAAAAGAAAAACGAAAAACAAATTCAATTTTTTTTTGCAAAAACAATCATACGGATACAATCAGCCAATTTTCTGTTTGATTTTTTATGATGATAAATTAAATGAATGAATCCTTCCAAATTGTATTATCCAATTTGATTTGACCTCTACATACGGATGACAAGATCATCTTATTTATCATCACAGCTAAAATATATTGATTTTCGCGAATAAAATCATGGAAAAGATTTGAAGAAAGTTGTATCGCCATCTGATGTTCAAAATAAGAAATCATTTATTTTTTCAAAAAAAAATTTTATTATTAGAAAATATATGAAAAAAAACGAAAAACAAATCAATAAGAAACATATTGGGGAAAAGGAAACAACAACAACAAAAAACTGAATGGAATAACAATAAAAATAAATGAATAAAAATTGATGATTACAATATGTTTGTGTGTGTGTTGTTGTTCGTAAATATACATGTATATTTATCATACGAAAGAAGTTTTCATTGTTTCCAATCCATATAAATCATTATTTTGATCAATTAATTCAACAATTGAATCTTTGATTATTTGTTGTTGTTGTCGTTTATCGATATTACTATTCATATCATCATCATCATCATCATAATCATCGTCGTCGTCAGTATGATTATCATTATCATTATCATTATCATCATTCAAACAAGTTGTTAATGTTGACATTTTTATATAATGATGATTTTTCTTTCTTTTTTTCATCATTATTTTATCATTTTGATTATTATTCATTGTTTTTGTTGTTGTTGTTGATGATGATGAACATTTATTTAAATGATTATTATTAGATAAAAATTTACAAATACCATTACGATTTGGTATTGTTGTTGTTGCTGTTTGCTGTACGGTTGTTACAATAGTGGTCGATAATGATGAATCTATATTTGAATATTAATTAGATATTGATATGGTTGTCGTTATTTTCGTTGTTGTATATCGAATGATGATGATGATGATAGGATTGATGGGTAGAAAGAAAAGAAGGCAGAAACAAAAAAAAAGATATTCAATTAAGATGTGTGTTTTTTTCGGGTTGAATAAATTTTTTTAAAAAAAAGAAAAGATTTGAAAAAAATGAGAAAAGAAAAAAAGATTCGTTATTTCGATTCGTTTCGAAATTATATCACAGGAACATTATTATTCGATGCAAATTGACAACGGGGGTAGAAAAAAAAACGGAAAATGAAATTTTCCGTTTTTTCATTAAATAAAAAAGAAAAACATCAATTAGATTAGTTATTATATGGCACGAATTCTCCGTGTGTATGGTTTTTGTGTGCATGATGAATGTATTATTGATGAAAATAAAAGGCAGGAAAAAAAATTTATCGAAATTTAGTTACTTCAGTTTCAATTCCATTCAATTCATTCAATCATTCATTCATTAATTTTAGTAGTTTTTTGATGGAATAGATATAAATTTTTCTTTTTTTTTCTCATTTCAATTATGGAATAAAATTTAAATTAATTAATTTTTTGTTATTTGAAAAAAACCAGGAAAATTAAAAAAAAAATTGATGCATTTTAGTGATTCAGGCTGGAGATATGGAGATATAACAGGACACTTTGGTGGTGATGATGAATTTTGGTAGGAATTATTAGTAGAAAAAAGGAGAAAAGGAAGAATTTTGAATGCATTTTTTCATATCAAAAAAAAAATTGCAAATTTTTATTGATGATCAGAATAATGAGCAACATCGGTAAAACCTATTTTGGATGATTGAGAAAAACAAAACAAAACAGAAAACATTTTATAAATAGCAAAAAAAAAAACAAACCAAACAAAGATACGGTTCTACACTAGATAAATTAATATATTCAGTTTTTTATTTCGGTTAAAAATATAATTAATATTGATGAATGAAATAATGGAATTTTAATTTAATTTAAAATTAATCTAAAATTAAAATTCTGTACGTAAAACTAAAAACAAAAACTGAATACAACATTCGACTAATTCGATCATTCAGGGAGAAAAAAAATTTACATTGTCACATTTTTTCGGCGAATTGGATACATTTACATGCTTGTAAAATTACATAAGATTAATTCAAATTATCAAAAAAAAAAATTGAATAAGTGATTTACATATATACATTACATCACATTCACATACCAAACAAACAAAAAACTCGCCTAAAGAAATTATATAATACATAAAATGAACAAACATCAATGATATCTAATGAAAACAAAAAAAAAATATCATTTTCAAAAAAAAACATCTGTTACACAATGGATATGATGATAAAATTTACTGAAAAAAAATGTTTTCTCACTAATTCACCGATTCACCATTCAATTCAATTCCGTTTTTCTGGCATTAGACATTTATTAGAATTTATGGTTTTTTTTCATTTTTATTTTCTGATTAAAAAAAATAATTTTTTTTTGACATTTAGTTCATCCTATCTATCTATCCATTACTGACTTTCTTTTTCTCTTTTTTTTTTGATTCTGTATTTGTCATGTATAAAATAATAATAATGAATAAATAATGTAATGAAAAAAAAATAAGGCTAGTCTTTGGTTTGTTTTTTTTTCTTTCTTCTGATTCTGTTTTCCCTTAGGGCTACTATCATCTTGATGATGATGATGATGGTTGGTTATCAGAATTTGTTCTTGTTTTTTTTTCTATTTCATTTCTTTTTTTTCTGGTTAGATGAACGAAAGAAAAGGAAGGAAGGATGCAGCACATGAAAAAAAAGAATCACTGACGATGAAAGAAAATGAAATGAAATGAAATAATTTCTAAAGAATTGAAGAGAAAAAAAACATAAAGTCACATGCTTCAAATGCAAACAACAAAAAAAAAGCCAAAAATAACTTGAAAAAGAATCTGAAATTTTATAAATTAAAAGACAAAACAAGAAAAATAACGAAAAAAAAAGAATAAACTTACGAGGCTGATGCCACTTACGTGTTCCACCACCAACACCAGTACCAATACCATTACCACCAATATCATTACGATTATTATTATTATGATTAAAACACCATAAACTTTGACAGAATGCATTTTTATATAATGCATCACGAAAATTACGATTAAAACCACCATAAATAATCGGATTGAATACACTGTTTGAATAGGCAATAAAATATGAATAGAATATCAGATTACCAAACCAGCTTGGTAGCTACGATTATTACCAATATAGAAACAAAACAAAAAAAAAAGTAAACAAAACAAACAAACAAAAAAATAGAATATAAAATTCCAAGACAATTAATTAATCAATATTGATTGACTTTTTTTTATAAATAAATCTTACCATTTCATTACTTGAATGAAAATAAATTGAATATAATACAATCAATTGTAAGGGTAGCCAACAAATAACAAATACTAATAATACAACAACAACCATTTTGATTACCTAATAGTTTTTTTTGGATTTTTTTTGTAAATTGGAGAAAAAAATATTAATCATTATTAATTATTCAGTAAAAAATTTATCAATTCTAAATATTAATGAACAACAAAAAAAATGAAGAAAATGGATGCCATTTGATATTTTTTATATATATTTTTAGCCTATAGATGCCCACACACTTATGATTTCTCACCAACATTTCTTATCATAATCATCTTTATATTAACATTGTTCAATGATAAGATTGGTTTTGTAATTTTGAATGAAAAATCTTATGATATAATTATAATTATAATTATTATTTTTTATTGGGAAATCGACGTCAAACATTTTGAAATTCTTAGTCATCGTCTTCGACAATATATTGTTTATAAATAGAATCTCTGTTCTCTTTTTTGTTTTGTTTTGTTTTAATATTTTTGGTTTGAATGTGGCAAAATATGTGGTAACAGATTTTTGATGAATCGAATAAATTCTGCTTAATAAACACAAAATATATGAAAATTGATTCGACTTTCTTTTGTTTTTTTCTAATATCACTTTGATTTTTAGCTTCAAATTTCATTGAAGAAAATGACAAAAATAGAAATGAATAATGTTTTTTTTTTGGATGAAACAAACAAATATAGAATATATTCTTACCTTTCTTTTAGATTTTTTCTGATGTCTTAAATTACTTTCATTTGCTTCACCAGGTAAACGATTACCCCATAATATTAGAATTATAGCTGAATATGCTGTTATCATTATTAATACTGGTACAAAAAATAATGTTGTTGTAACTAATGTATAATAAAATGTTTTCATTGTATGTTTTTTATAACAAACACCATCATTTTCTGAATATGTCATTGTATATGGCCAATCTTCCATACAGGTTGTTTGTGTATAATCTACCCACTTTTGTGATATCCAAAGAAAAAAAAGAAAGATTGAAATTAGATTATTTTTAAATCAAATCAAATCAAAATCAAATTTCATATACTTTAACTGTTTCATAACGTCGAGAATAATAAAATGGTATCGATATGATTAATGATACAATCCAAATACAAGTAATGACAATACCGGTACGTTGTTTTGTAACACGTGTACGTAATGGATACATAATAGCCATATAACGATCACAGGCAATTGCTGATAATGACAATACTGATGATGTTAAACATGTCACTTGGTTTTTTTTCAAAGAAAAAGAAAACGAAAACAAACAAACAAAAAAAATTATTCAAATTTTAATCCAATTATGATAAGGGAAAAAAATTCCATGAAAAAAAAATCAATCGATATTTAATCGATATTTCTTCAACAACAACAAAACAAACAAACAAAACAAAGCTACATGACCATCCTAATTGGATTTCCCTTTTTTTTTGCATTTTGCATTTGGTAAAATGTTTGTTTCCTCTCATTGATTTCCAGTGAATAGTAAAAGTAATCAATTCGAAAGAAAACAAAAAAAAAACGAAAATCAATCGATATCATTATCGATTATCAATAGGCTAGATAACAACAACAACAACAACAGGAAAAACTGATCGAATTCCGATATTCTCTCTCTCTCTTACTCTCACTTTCATGGAAATCATTGAAATGAAATGGAAAAAAATTTCCGAATCAAAATCTAAAATGAAAATTATTATCATTAGAAAAAAATAATAATTTGTTTGCAAAGAAATAAGGAAAACGAAAACATGAAACGAAACAAATTTTGAATAACCAATGATTCTTTCTTTATTATAAAAAAAAATGAATCTTCTTTTTTTTGGAAACAGAATCAGATTCAATTTCTAATTAAAAAAAAACATTTTTTTTCTGACCAAATTCCAAGATTCTTGATTGAACAATTGCTGAATATAATTGAATTTTTTGTTTTGTTTTGTTTGGAAATTTCTTTCAGCAAATAGATATTTGTTAATGGTCATTGACAATAATAACAACAACAACAACAACAGAATTGACATCAAACAGAATTTTTGTGAAATATGTGACTATTTTTATATAGTAGCTATTCAAAAAATTGGAATCTTTCTAGTTTTATTTTATCAATTTTTTTTCAAACATTTATGAATTTTTCTGATCGATTTTCAATTACATTTTGGTTTGTTGAAATGAAACAGAATAGCTATTTTCATATTTCCAGAAACAAAAACTATCATTTTTAACATCCGAATATAGAAAAATAAAAAATTTCAATCGTTAATCATTGTTGTTATTGTTATCATCGTCATAATAAATCGATATCTTTTAACAACAACAACAACAGAACAAAAATGTATCAAAAAATCTTTAGATTTTGAAGAAGAAGAAAAAAAATGAAACAAATCAATTTGATTTAGTTATGATATTCATCATCAAAAAGAAGAAAAAAAGAAAAAGAATGTTCCCGACAACAACAACAGAAAAAATCCAAAATGATACATTTGAAAACTCAAAATGAAAAATTATCATCCATAAATAATAATAATGTTGGTATGTTCATCATATATAAAGAGATTGTTGTTGTTGTTTTTATTCTGTTCCATCTGATTTGATCCAATTTCGAAACATATACATCATCATATAATATTATTTAATTTACATTTTCTTATTTGTTTTGTTACATAATCATAATGATAATAATGTTTATCAAAAATTGAATTGCTTGGACGAATTGGATTGGAATTTTTTCGTTAGAAGAATGATGATGATGTTGATGAAGATGTTGAATGTTAAAATGATGAATGCATATTTCTTTTCTGTTTGATTTTCAACATTAACAACAACAATGAACGAAGAAAATGGATCAGACATTCATTCATTCATTTGGAATCTCTGATATTTTTCTTTCATATTTATGGAATTTTCAATACTTGTTTCAAAGAAGAATTTTTGTTCTTTTTCTTTTTATTTTTTAATGGTTTTTCAACAAAAAAAAATCGGATTAATGGATATCAAAAAATGAAAAGAAAAGCTAAACCGAGTAGCAAATACTCAAATTCTAGATTTCATTTTATTTTAGGAAAAGGAAATGGCTTTTTTATTTATAAATTCGGAACTATTTTATCACTGCGTGTCTGTTGTGTGATTAAATCGAGATAAAGTGATAGGAAATAAGTGTGCGATATTGAAAATGATAACTTGAATATGGATCCTTTTTTTTCGAAAAAAAGAAAACAAACAGAAAACAGGAAGATAACAAAGATAAAAATCAATCAATCTATCAATCAATAAAAAAAACTGTGAAATAAAATCATCATCATCATTCTGATTGACTGTTTTTTATTAACTTTGGCTGCTTCTGCTGATGGTTATTGTTGATGATAAAATATAGAAGAAAAAAAAATGAACAGAAGAATCGATCCATTTATGATTATCAACCAAAGAAAGAAATGGAAAAAAAATTATGATTGGATCATTGACAGTTTGATTATTTTCTTTCTTTCATATCATATCATCATCATCATTTTTTTTCATATGACAATCATCATCATCATCATCATGATATAACCATTATTTTCAATTTACTTTATTTTCTCTCTCTCGTTTGAAAGCCATTTATTATTAGTTTTTTTTTCTTGTGAATATAATTCTGTTTAGATTGTTGTTTTATTACTTCAACAAAAAAAAAGTGGTAACCAAATGTTTCACCATAATCATCAGTTTTTTTTCGAAAATTTTTATTTTCCAATTTGTCAATTTTTATAATTATCGTTCTTTCATTCGGTTGTTTGTTTGCATTCATTCATTCATTCATTCATTCATTCATAGATGAAAGGCCTATCCATCAATCTATACTATAGATTCTATAGCCATTATCGATCTGCAGCCTGAGTTCAATATAGAATTCAGATAGAAGATAGGCTTGTTTTTGATGATGATGATGTCTGCGAGAGAAAAAAAATGAATGTATTTTACAGACATCAACATAATCATATTTTTTCGAATAGATTCTTTATATGAATATAATATTCAAATCGATTAATCGGTTGTTGTTTTTGGTCATACATTCATCATTCTCTCTCTCTCTCTCTCTCTCACCAAATTCAAAATCAAAAACATTTCCAATGAATTCGGGATGTTTTTCTTCAAAGAGAGAAAGAAAAAAAAACTGGGAGAAGAAATCTCAAAAGAAGAAGAAAAAAATCTAGAATTCCGAATTCCTGGATTCATCATTGCGAAAAAAAAATTTTGAATTGAATTTCAATCATTTACATACCCACAGAGACACAGACATTATATGTTGTTTGTAAAATTTTGTTTGTTTGTTTGTTTGATGAAAAACAATTTTTCAATTTCAATTGGAGAAAAAAAACTCTCAAACAAAACAAACATCAAAAACAGATTTTCAAATTTGAAATGTAATTTACAAACGATAAAAAGAAGAATGAATAAATAAATCAAATAAACAAACAAAAGAATAAAACTTACACCAATTTACACATCATCTTTATTGAAAAATGTTTGAAAAGGGGGATATTTATATTGGAACGAAAATAATGGACAATACAAGCCAGTGAGGCAATCAAAAAAAATATTCAAATTGGAAAAACTTTGGAAGGAAAAAAATTTTAATTTCAATTTCAAAAAACAAAAGAAAATGAAGCGATAAAATTTTCAATTTCATTTTGTAATTTTCTTAGGGAAAACACTAAAGAAACAAACAAACATTGACATAAATTTAACATTTTGGAATCTGTATCCATTCTGTTCATTATAATGATGATGATGAAAAGTTTTATTTCACTGAATAATGATGGTGTTTATTTTTTTTGTCAAATTCATTACAGTAATTCTCGAGCAAAAAAAACAATAAAAAATTGTACAGAACCTATTAACAAAAACCTATTTTGTAAAACTCATTGGTCATTTACATAATGTTTTTATTTCAAAAATTTTTTTTTGAAATTCTCTTCAAATTTCTTTTAAAACTTTTTCTTTTGTTTTTGCATCCTTTTTAAAGTCATTGCGAAATTCGAAACATTGTTTCTTTTGTTTCAAAAATTTGCAATGTTTTTTTTTGTCTGTGAAAAAATTAAAAAGATCAAACTCAATTGATTAACACTATTAGATCATCCTTTTAATTATCATGAACTACTTCCCTTGTTTATAGTGAACAGAAAAAAAACAATCATCAAAAAACGAAAATTCAATTTAAACAAACAAACAAACAAACCAAAAAAGTTTCAACAGGATACTGGAATCCAAAAATAAAGTTGATTGAAAGCAAACAATTAAAAAGTTTTATCTTTATCTTTGTCTTTGTCTTTTAGCTTAATCAATTATTTTTTTCCCAAGAAAATGAAAAAACTACTTTAATGAAAACAAATCAAATAAACAAATAACAAGGAAATTGAAAAAAGTTTTTTTTTCAATATTGAAAACTTACTTTGTGCAAATGAATTAATTTTACAAAAAAATGGACCAAGTACATATGTTGGTGCTGTTAGATGATTGATTAAATGTACCCACATACAACATATACAGATTAATATATCGGCAACAGCTAAATTAGCTAAATATAAATTAACCGTAACACGTAATGATCGTTTCATTAAAACACTTAGAACAACGGCTGAATTTCCAAATATTGATGCTATAATAGCAATAATATAAATGGTTATTTTAAAATATTCATCCAAACCGAATGCTTTTGTTTCAAATCGTTCACCTTTGAAATAAATGAACAAATAATTTAGATGAAAACTTAATTAAAAATATAAATAAATTTACCTGGAAAATTGAGATCGGTAAAATTTTCAATATCAAAAAATTGTTCTTGACATTCTAATAAATTATAATTTTGATTATTTTGATAACGATTTTGATGATGATGTTGATAATTTTGTAGTTGTTGTTGTTGTTGTTGCTGAAATGTTTGATTAAATTTAAATGATGATGATGATGATGATGATAATAATAATGGATTCAATGTTGATGGATTAACAATATCATTCGTCAGCCATAAGAATGTTGCTGTCGTTGTCGATGCCGATATTGATTCTGTAGTTGTTTCATCATTATCATTGTTTGAAAAAAATAATGATGATAATTGATAAGTGCTCATTATCAAAAAATAAATAAATGAATAAACTAAAAAGAAAAACAAAACAAAACAAAACAAAGTTTATTAATAAAAGTTTTGTTCAACAAATTTAAATTACACTATCTTGATTTAGTCAAAATCCAACAAAAAAAAACATGATGTGAAAACAACAACAAAATTAAAAGTACAGAATTTTTGACAGAAACAACAAACAAAATACATCTGGTCATAGAGGAGAAAAAGAATAAGTCATTATCATTATCATGTTTTTTTAATGAATATTTTCTTTTCCTAAAAAAAAGTTTGCTTTTTTTGGCTGTTGTTATTCTGTTGGTTGTCAATTATTTTCATCATCATCATCATTTTGTTTATCAATGTTATGATGATCAGATAATGGATTGTTGTTTTGTTTTGGCAACTCTTTATCACAAATCTTTTTTTGTTGTTGGTTGTTCAGGTAAAGTTTGCCTTGTAAACTAATGTAGTTGGTGTAAAAAAATCCCAAATTCAATTTACCTTGTGTGTAATGACAAATTTTCATTGATTGTTTTTTTTAACCAAAAAAGCAAAACAAAACGATTTAGTGGTGGGAAAAAATGATATTCATTAGACCAACAACAATATTTGCGTGAGTGCAAAATGCAAAAACTCCAAATGCTGATGATGATGATGATGAATATTCATTACAAAGAAGGAAATAGAAAATACGGGGGAAAAAATATTCCATGACATTTTTGTTTTTCGGAAAACAAAGGTGGGGTAAAAATGAAATAAAAATGATGAAATAAAAACGACAACAAGGAAAATGAGAAATGAAATGCAATGATCGATTATGATGATCATGATGCGGCTAAAATGATATTAAGATTGATGATTTTCGTTGAAAAGATTATTTACAGAAAAAAAAACAAAAGATTTGTTTATTTTTGGTTATTATCGTTAGATATTTTGATCAAATATTTTTCCTTTGAAATATTAATTAAAATTTTTCGATAACCGGAAGCTAGAAAAAAATTGAATAATTAAAAATCAATTAACATAAAAACAACAGCAACATTAATGAAAAACTAAATACATGCAAATTTCCTTGGAAAGCAAACAATAAAAATGAATTGGCAATTGAATTTGTACAATCAATAATGATGATGATGATTACGAAAGAAATCCACAAAGATAATGTTTAACATTTGGATACTTATTGTTTTTTTTTCTGGTTAAAGCAAAATAAAGGATTGAAAATTTAATGATCGTAACACTTATGTACATGATTATCCAAAGTTTATTGAATTTTTGTTTTATCTCAGACAGACGATGTTGTGATGGGAAAATTTTATTCGTAAAACTTTTTTTTCTTCTTGAAAATCATGTCTATTATTTACTATTAATGTTGATTCTTTTAACTTATTCTTTTTCCTCTGTTAATTTATAGAAAATATGCGTACGTATGTGTGTGGGTGTTAATTATGCTCACCGTAACAAACAAACATAATTACACACATATGCTGCTTACCGAAAAAACATTACTTAACCAACAAAAATAAACTAACTGACTAACAAACAAACTTACAATTTGGATTAATGATAAAGTTATTCTATTAGTTCAATGTGTTGTATATGGATGTATGCATAATAATAATAATAAGTTTCAAATTGATTTTCCATTGAAACAGAATAAAATAAATGAATATATTTTTATCGATTCTGTGTTGTTGCATAACACAGAATAAGTGTTTCAACAGAAAAAAAAATACCAAAAAACAAATTACTTGTCTCTTTCTCTATGTTTTTAATGGAATCTGTATTTATGTTCTCTAATTGTATTTAACATTTAGGCAGAAAAACTAAATAAATAAAAAAATAATAGAAATTCAAACAGCATAAAAAAAACAAAAATCAATGTGAAATTAAAATAAACAAAAAGAAACGTAAATTCAATTTCATGTTGAATTTACGTTTTGACTAAAAGTAAAATTTTGAAAATTCCAAATAAAGAATGAAATGAAAATAAAATCAATGATGATGAACCAACACACCAATCACAAAATAGAACAAACATTGATGAAATTAAATTATCATCGACCAATTGACTACGACAATCACATAGAAATAAAAATTCTCAATCATCGAATCAATCGTGGATCAATAATATGAAAAGAGAGAGAGATTTTTTTTTCATCTGAAATTTATCATCATTATTGAATCTAATAATGGCAACAACAACAACAACGAAAAAATCGACAACAAATACTCTTAAATAATAATAAAAAGATTGTTTTTTTTCGTCATTTTCTACTTCGACTATTTTGTTTTGAGCCAAAAAAAGCCCTGAAATGAAAATGAACGAGAGAAAAAAAAATCCATAAAAACAGCGACACAGAAACATGAAAATAAAATATGGAATTAATATTTTTTATGAATGCAAAACACATATCAAAAAAAACGAGAGAATTATTGGCTGCAGCAAGCAAAAAAAAAACAAAGTTTGAATTGATTTTTGATTAGATTTTTTCTTCTGTTGTCTGCCTACTTTTTTTTCATTGGATTCGTTCATAGCTTGTATTAAGAATTTTTTTCCTCTCGGATTGTTTTTCATCATCATCATCATCTTCGTTAATAAGAATGACGAAAAAAATTCCCAAATATCGATTATATAAACACCAGCAAAGTAAAGTAAAGTGATGAAAAAAATAAGAAGAAATTTAAGATGTCAAAAAACAACAACAACAATGAAAAGAAAAGATCATGGAAATTCGATACACAACCATAAAGATATTGTTTTTTTTTCTATGATCATCATCATCATCTTAGTTTTCACATTAACTTCTTTTTATCATTTTTTTCCAATTCTTAACATTACTTTATAAACATTACTTACTTTTCATATCTTGTTTTTCTTATAATTATCATCTTCTTGGAAGAAAAAGTTAAGCTAACTAGAATTTTAATGATGGATTTTCGTTAAGAATTCGGGAAAAACAAAATCTTAAAAAAAAACATCATCATCATCATCATAATGATTCAATTCAACTGATCAATCTGATTGATTAATTTGAAAATTCCTAGCAAATGTTCATTTCATTTTGGCTATAGTTTTTGGGAAAAAAAGTAAGAGTAGAATGCAAAAAAAATAAAAAATAAAATTTATTTTTTAAAAACCGATTATCGACTGATCGATTCGATCTTCTATGTTTTGAACGAACATCATTATTCGAATCATAAATAAATTAATCTTTTTCTCTTTTTGCTGGATTATAATTAGTTTAGGAATTTCTTGTTTTTTCTTTTTGAAAATATTATTCTGCGAATAACGACGATGACGATGAATGTGAAATGACTTTTACATCATAAAATAAAAATAAAATCATATTGAGTGGAAGAAATTTTTCTTTGATTTCAAAGAAAGCAAAAATGAAATGAAGAAAAACAATTCAGTAAAAACATTGAGATAAGAAAATTTAACGAAAACTGTTGGCTATAGCCAATCAATTCAGGAAACAAATTTTTTTTTTTAACCAAAACGAAAAACAGGAAACTCCAACGGGAATTGGACCAACGGTAAACCATTAATATATAATGGAATGAATGGAATATATGTAAGCAATATGGATTTTGTTTTTTTTTCTGGCAAAAAAAAAATGATATTTCCTTTTGAATATTATTCAAATATCAAACAAACATCATCAAAATTTTCATCTTTTCTTTTATCTATAGACAAAAACAAAACCAAAAAACAGTTTGTGCGTTTGAAAAACATTTTTTTTTGTTTCTTTGGCTGAATTTTTTTTTCACACCAAATTCATTTCAAGAATCTATTTATTTCTTTTATTTCATTGAAAAAATGATTCAACAACCAAATAAAAGTACTAGTGTTGTTTTGTTGGTATCTGATATTTTGATATCAAAATTGAGAAAATGTAAATTTCAACAATAACAAAAAACTAATTTTTTTTTGATAAAAATCGAAGCAAAAAAAAACTAACAAAGTAAATATGATGTATTCATATGTGAGGATGATCTATGACAACAACAACAACAGAAAAGAATCTGAAAAGAATCTGGATCCTTTTTTTTTTTTGTTTTGTTTTTTGTCTGAAAGATTCTTCTTTGTGATTTGGCTTCTGTCTATAGTTGTTGTTGTTGTTGTTGTTATGGTGTTCTATTTGAATATTTGAAATTCTATCAAACAAAAAATTCATTGGTTTTCTTTATTCTTACTTTCGTTTGAATGTGATATGTCACGTTATTTATATTTTCTTTGCATTTTTCTTCAATTTTTTTTTTGTTTGATATTTTGACTTTTATATTCGCTTGATAATCACTGAATCTTTTGTTGGTTCAATAGAAAAAAAAAGAACGAAAGAAGAAAAATTTCTTTGAAAAAAACCAAAGAATTTAAAAATCTTTACACTTTTCACTCTCTCTATGGATCTTGTCAATGTCGAACTTTGTAAAGTTTCGTTTTTTTTTTTGAAAAATGGAAAATCTTTATTAAATTATTATTTTGTATGAAATTTGTGACCGAATTTTGGAACAAAAAGGGACATTTTTTTTCATATATCAAATTCAAACAACGACAACAATAATGAACAACAACAACAACAGAAAATTGAAACCTTATCAACAAAAACAACAATAATAATAATAATAATAATGACGACAACGATAATAATCAAAAAAAAAGATCAAACGTGGAAAAGTCAAAAAAAAATCATTCATAACGTAAGTAATAAAAGAATTGAAAAGATTATTGAAGCATTAAAACATTTGACACATACAATGTATTTTGGTCTATAGAAAAAAAAAGACGAAGACGAAAAAACAAAAGATTTTCTGGGAAAAAAAACAAAGAAAAAAAAATATGATGCCACGAAACCCGGTTTTTCTTTTTCTCGATTCGAAGGGGAAGGAAATCGAAAATTGTCATCAACAGCAGTAGCCAAATTAAAGAGAGAATTAAGAAAACAAAAAGTTTCATTCATTCAATAGGTTGGGTTTCTGTTTTTTTTTGTTTTTTGTTTACAAAGAAAATAACAGAAACGAAACTGAAAAAAAAATCATTAAGAAAAAAAGAAAATTATAAAATTATTGTCTTTGTTTTTTTGGGATATCTGGTTGATTGTTTCACAATAAATAAACAAAACAAAACGCAAAAAAAAATGGTTCATGAATTTCAACTTTTTTTGTTTTCACTGGTAAAATATGGGAAGGGAAAAAAAAGTTGAAAATTGGAATTTTAAATATACACTAAATGAATATGAAAAAACTAACTTATGATCCATTCGTATACGAATTATTACCGAAAAAAAAGAGAGGAAATTTGGCTAGAAACGAATAAAAAAAAACTTTTAGCCAAATTAAAGAATGAAAACAAAAAAACAACAAAAAAACAAAAATCATAAATCGATTTTGTTTGGGGGATGTGATTGTGTAAAAGAAAAAGTGAGGAAAAAAAAAGTTAAGAATATTCTTATTTTCATTTCGCTCCAATAATTATTCAAATTAAAAAAGAAAAAGAAAGAATTCCTTGAAAAAAAAATTCAAAAATAAACTTACCTTTGTTTGTTTTCAGCAAAAAATTTTTATTTCTTTTCAAACAAACGAAAATTTTACATAAAATCAAATCAAATCAAACAAAATATTCATTTCAACATTCGAATGTTAAGAAAAAAAACAAAAATTCGAATGTATCTTTCGAAGGTGAGTAACGAATACGCCAAAAACAAAAAAACAAACAAACTATCGATGATATCGATTATGATGAATGACTGAACTTCTTGATGTACTTTTTGAATATAATATTAAAAATCATTATCCAGAATCCAATCGAATCAATCAATCAATCAATGAAATCTAATCGATGATTAATAATCAATAATTTATTCGATATTCTTTTTTCTTTTCTTTTTTTCTTCGTCTTTCTTGCTAATCGATAATTAATCAATTAATTAATAATTTGTGATTACGTCATATACAGAAAGACACAAACAAAGACAGACAGACAGACAGACAGAATGAGTACTTAGCACATCAAAAACATTCAATCGGTTTGATTGAAATTGATTGATTCGATTCGTTTTGTTTTATTTTGCTGTGAAAATGATGATAACGATGGATCAGTAATGGATATGGGTAAGTGAATGAACTAATAATTTTTCAACAAACAAAATTATTTTGATAAATTCTTCGTTGTTGTTGTTGTTTTTGCTGTTTTATAATCAAATGGCCGATGTAATCAATTTGAATTCTAAATGAATAATGATGATGATTTGAATTTCAAGTTATATTACTTTACATGATATTCATTTCATTTGATGTAATAGTGGTATTTTTTTTGTGTGTGTGTCTTTATCGATTCTTTACGTCATATTTTTTTCGGGATAGAATATCAGCAAGTAAAAAAAAAGAATGAATGTGCGCATCATCAATTCGAATGTGCGATACGCCTATATTATATTCGATTTGAGTCGACTCAATTGCAGATTCGCTATAACGCGTTAATGAATCTTTTTTTAGCAAAACTTTTTTTTTGTTTTGTTTTTGTTTTTAAATTTTAAATAAATAAATTGGTTTTTTTCTTCTAAGTTTTAAAGTTGATTACCTTATATTATATTGTGTGAGTGAAGGAAGGAAATGTCCGTTTTGTATTGTGAGAGAGAGAGAAAAGTATTTTTTTCCTCATCATCATCATTATTATCATAATCGGTTCAACTTGAATTTTGTTTTTAATTGCATATTGTTCCTCTTGAAATTTTTAATTTTATTCACCACTTAATCAAATATAAAGAGGTAATGAATGATGGTCATAAAAGAAAAGAATTTTGATTTGATCCAGAAAACACGAAAAAAAACAAACACAGCTGTTGCATCCCCGTCCATCCATCCATTTAATATCCATTAATCGATTCTATCGATAGTTGTTGTTACTCATTCTTTTCCTATATATGAAGAATTGAATGTATAAAACAGGATCTGAAAAGATAAATCATTTAAAAAAAATAACAATTTTCAAAACATCAAATCAGATCAGATTGAAATTAATCAACTAATCAATTGATTATTTGCAAAAAAAAAACAAAACATATTGGATTTTCTCTCGCTATGTGTTTCTAAATTTTTCGTTTATTTTTTTGCCATTCTTTTTCATTTCATCGTAATCCATGATTAATGAATTTATTTTTTTTTTCGCAATCAACCAAACGAATTATTTCAAACATTTACTGCATATTATTATTATTGTTTTTTCTTTTTCTTTTTCTCTTCTCTCAACATCAATTCTATTGAATAATGATCATTTTCCATTGATAACTACCAATCATTAATGTTGTTTTTTTTTTTGGTTCAATTTTTTGATTCGAAATGTGGAATTTCGAATCAAAAAATCTTGTTACTATTAACACTCTCACACAGACATTGTGTGTGTGTGTGTGTTTTTTTCCCGAAAAAATTCCATTTTTTTTGTACCATTTACAATGATCGACTGTCATGGTTAATAGGAAAAAAAGTTGAAATCATTCGAACGAACGATTGATTGATGAAAATGTTTGATGTTTTTTTTTGTTATTTTATTTGTTAAAATTTTAAACAGCAAAATCAAATTACCAAGAAAAAAAAACAAGTTGAAATCAGAATTTTCCTGTGTTAAATAAAAAAATCATGTTGCAATTCTTTTTTTTTAGGAACGATAAAAAAAAGGGGTAAACTGTAAAGCCTAATAACTGTTAAGTGAGGATAGATAGATAGACAGAGAAAGAGAGACGGACAACATTTTTACATTTACATTAATCTGGTGATGATTGATTGATTGATTTTTTTTGTTTGTAACAAAGAAGAATTTTGGTTGAAAAATGAAAAAGTTTTTTTTTGCAAACCCGGAATTTAATGTTTTTTAAAAAAACGACAACTATTTCAACACAGATGATGTTCTGATTTTGTTTATTTATCAAATTCATGACAGGCTTTAAAAGATTCGAGCATTAATTGTTTACTTTTTCATTTTTGATTTTTTTTAAAAAGAAGAAAAGAAATCTAAATTGGTTCACCATAAGGGGATGCCAAAGGATTCATTCATTTTTGTAAAAAAAATAAGAATTTTATTTTTTATTAAAACAAACACAAACACAAACATACAAAACAATCAATAGTTTAACAATGTTTTCAACAGAAGCAAAAGTTGTAAAATCTTTTCTCTTTTCTTTTTTTTTCTTAAACAAATCTTTTAAAAGCTAATAATAATTCTTGACTGATACGATAATTAGCTAAATCATCGGAATTTGTTTCATTATTATCATTATTATCACTGTTGTTATTATTATAAAGAAAATTTGAAATTTTTTCCAATAATAATATTGTTGATGATTTTGGTACATCGGTAAAACAATTTGGATCGATAATCTGTTTGTTGTTGTTGTTGTTTTGGAAAGAAGAAGAAGAAGAGAAAAAATTAATTTGATTCAAATAACACAATCATGATTGATAATAAAAGAAACTTACTAATGATTTAATCCAGAATAAAACATTTGGTGGTAGAAATGAACATTCATCTAATGATTGAAACATTTGATTCATAATTGTACATAAACGTTGTCCACATATAATCAATAATTGACGACATAATATTTTTATATCCAATACTGATGACATAAGCTAATATTTTTTTTTGGTTGTTGTTGTTGTTGTTGTTTTGGAATTGAATAAAAAATAATTAACGAAATTTTTTCAAACAAACATTTTGTTTTTAACTATTTTTTTACCTCATCAGCTAATGGATCACAACCATAAAGATAAAGTTGATGTACATAATGTAAACGTAATGAATCGATATCGATTGACCATTCTCTAGCCAAATCGATTAGCTTTCCAAACCATTGATTTGCTTTAATATAAAATTGTTGACAGGTATTTGTATCATTTACGTCATCTAATTTTGTTTTACGAAAAAAAAATTATCAAAGATAGGAAATTAATTTATTTATGGGAAAAAACAGAAAAACATAAAAAACAAAAAGACAAACCATTACGATATGATGGAATTGTTTGCACTATCGATGTAATAGTATTGGTTAGAAATTTTTTCCTTTTTTCCATTAATACCGGATCATTAAGTTGAATTCCATCATTGTTATTATTAGATAAAAATGAAACCAAATCTTTTTTAAAAAAATATGCACGAATTGTTGATGAAAACAATGATAATGGATGTACATTTCTAACAGAAAATATTATTATAAATTGTATACATTGTGCTAAATGATAATATTCAATCAATAGATCAATATTGGCTATTTTTTGATGTATTGCCATCATTGCTAATGGTATTGTTGTTGATGATGATGATTGTAAATTATATCGAAAAAATTCTTCATTAAAATTTTCATTATTATTATTATTAGTTGATGAATTAAAACTATTCCACCAATTATTCATTGTATATAATGGTAATGCTTCAGTTTCGGATGAAACACTTGTTCGAATCATAAAATCTAATAAATTACAGATAAAATTGGAAAATTGTTCCAAATTATTTTCATCTAGTGGGGGAAAAACAGGGAAATCAAAAACAAAAGAAAAAAAAACCATCATTCCATTTGTTTGATTGGTTATTGGATCAAATTACTTACCCATTTCTAATTCTTTACGTATAACACGATCTTTAGGTTTTTTACCCATTTTTTCAATTAAATGGCATAAACATTCAAATTTTTTCTGTATAAATAAACACCATGACATTTGTGCAACATTATGTTTCAATATTGAACTTGATACTAATTCTAAATATTTTAATGATTGTTCAATTTGATTATATAATAATGGTTGATAATTCCATTGTCTTAATAATTCCCAATAACAATTTATAAGTAGAATATCAGAATCAAGACAATTTGGAAAACATTCACGTACATGATTTAATATTTCAATCAATGTTGATTTTTCTGTTAATGTTTGTAATTCATTTTCGGCATTTTTACCAATTTCTAAATTAATATTTTTTAAAATTTCAACATTATTATCCGATGTATCTATATTTGTTTTTGATTCACATTCATCAATATGTTTATAATCAGTAAAAAGTTCTGGATCAATTTTATGATAAATAGCCCATCGGGCAACAATTTCCGAAACAATACCCGGACCACTTGTTAATAATAATGATAATGAAATGTTTTCAATATTTTTCAAACCACCACCACCACCATTATTCAATGATGATGGTATTTTTGTATTTGTATCACATGATTTCAATAATAAATCAAGTAAAAATAAATCTTCCAATTGTTTTGCTAATAAATTTAAATTTTCTTTATCTAAATGTAATGTTTCCCATTCATCATTATCCGCTGATATGATACTATGTAATGATTTTCGTTCATCATCAACAACATTAACATTAACAGTTTCATTATTCGAATCTTTTTCATTCGATTCGAAAATTTTCTTTTCCATTTTGATTCGATTAATAAGTGCTTTTATCATATTGATTGCAATAAATGAAGCCGGTATATTTGTTGATTTATAAATCAATTTAATAATATCAATCCAACTGGGACTTAATTGATCATTTAAGCATGAAAAATCAAATATAATTCCATCATCATCATCATCATTAGTATTTTCATTATTAATCATCATTTGTAAATGTATAGCATTTATTCGATCAATAATTTGGTTAAATGTTGATGAAAATTTTAACCATGATGGCCAATATAATGAAAAATCCGAATTTAACCATGATGTAAATAATAATAATAATAAATTTGATGATAAAATACAAACATTATCCGTTAGATTTTTTACGTTCGATTCATCATCATCATCTACGAATGTTGTAAAAAATAAAAATTTTGATAATCTTTCCAGATTAATAAATTGATCAATATTATCAATATTATTGATCGTTGATCTTTGTTTGTTTTTGTTTTCAAATCTGTTTGTTGTTTGATTCTTTTTCTTTTTGTTACTGTTATTCATATTAACATTGACATTTGTCATATTTTCTTTCATCAATATAATTTCAATTGGTAAATTTTCATAAATTTCTTGCTGATCATTTTTCACTAAATGATTATAATATAATGTAAAATGTGATAACATTTCATTGATTGTAAAATCATTTAAAATTGTTGAATTGTTCTTCATTTCATCAGTTACATTTGTTGTTGTTGTCGATTTCAATACCGATTGACGAAATGCTAATAATGATATTATACGTACAACATCATTTTCTGACCAACCATTCAATTGTTCTGTCAATCGTTGTAAATCTGGTTGTTGTTCATTTTGTTGTTCAATTAATTTCAAGAATTTCGTTTCCAATTCTTCTGTTCGATTTTTGACATTTAAATAATATTGACAAAGTTGAATAATTCGAGCACACATTTGTAATAATAATTTATTTTCAAAATCTAATTCATTTCGTTCCAATAATTCAAGTAAATCTTTTTGTAAATTTTTTGTACATTCAAGAATTAGATTTACATCTTGACATTCGTTACATATTAAATCTAAACATTCATGTCTAATTTCAGATGTTTTTAACATTGATATTAATTTCATTATTTCATCCATGAATTTTGTCTTTTGATCAATATTGGAATCCGATTTTTTTAATAAATTTTTTAAATCTTTCATTATATGTATATCACGTGTTTTTTTACTATTTTTATCGGTTAATGAACAAAGAAATGGTATATAAAATTGAAAAATCATTCCAGTATCATAATTGAATAGGAAACATCTTGAATATGAAAAAAATTGTTGATATTCTTGAAAGCTCATTGTTTGTTTAATATTTTGTAGTATCACATAATTAAGGCCAAACATTGTATGATCAATATATAATAGTTTACAATTTTTTCCAACATTAAATGCTGTAACACGTGGTCCATTTTGTGCGGACCAAATTTCTAGTATACCACGTTTTGGTAGATAAATAACTAAAAAATGTGCCTGTTTTCGATTGCTAATATCTGTGGATGATTGTTCTAAATCTTCATCAATAACAATCCAACCAATTTCAGCACGACGATAACCTTTCCAAATACGAATAGCAATTAGATTTTGCATATCGAACAATATAACTCTTCCGAAATCATCGGTTACAGCTGCTAATCGTCGATTTGGTGATAAACAAATTTTCAAACCTAAACGTTCATCAAATAATGATAAATCGGCCGAAACATTTGTCGATGGTTTTATCATTTCTTTATCATTTTTCGGTGATTTTTGTTGATTGAAAAATGAAAAAACATTTTTCACTTTATTCATTAGATATTGTGATAATTCATCAATTATTGCATGTGTTGTTCCCTAGAATAATGATTTTTATTAAATTCTTTATAAATTTTTCAAATGAATCAAATCGATTACCTCTTGTGCACGATAGAATCCAACGTAAGGATTTGTACCGGTTGTAAAAAAAAGATTAGCATAATCATTGGTTAATGGTTTGTTACCACCACCATTATCAATTGAATGTGATACTAATGCATCAAAATCATTACGAATAAATGAACAAACATTTACACAATCATTAATATGACTATCGGATGATGATGTTTGAAATGACCATTTTTTAAATGTAAATGGTGTTTGATTATTATCATGATTATTATCTTTATTGAAAAATGATAGGCCACCATCAACAATATTCATTGTTTCATCTGATGATTTCATTAAACGATTACGACAATGTTTAATCATTTGAAATAGACTAAAACCATCAATTTGGATGATTGCTGTTGGATAAATAATCAGGATTTCATCTGTTTGTTCTAATAGCAAAAGATTTTGTGAATAAGTACGACATTTAATATCTAAAATTGGTTCATCATGAAATAGCTGTGATAATAGAAGATATTTTCCATTTTCAGTATAAATACGAAAATAACCGGATGAAAATCCGGTTAAAATTGCTGTCCAATCACGAAAATTTACTGCAGATTTTTTCTGTGATACAAATGGTAATAATACAATATTGGTTAATGTTTCATCATTCTCGATTCCGGGTAATGTTGTCGTATAAATTGGATTGAATTCATTATTAGCTGCTGAATTTTGTTTCAAATGAAATATCGATACAGTTTTTGATCGTCCAATAATTAACATATCCAAAAATGGTGATAATGAAATTAGACATTCATTTAACCAAATATATTTTTTATCATCATTATTATCATCATAAACTAATTCACTTGTATCCCAATTCCAACGATTATCCCAATCATCATCACGATTTATTTCTTGTCTGGTTCGATTTTCAGGTATTAATGTTGTTTTTAAATCATCCAATTGATTTATAGTTGAAAATTGATTGATTGATGCGGACATTTTTTTTGTTCAACCAAAAAAAATCAATGAAAACAAAATTAAAAAAAACAAATCTCGAAAAAAGGAAATCCAAATTTTGTTTTTCTCGAAACAAAACGTGACGTAAACACAAAAACAAAAACACAATCAGCTGTGCTCACACACCACCAAACATGCATGTGGAGAGTTGCTGTTCAACGCATTCATGCATGCATGTTTTTTTCCAAACTTGTCCATTTTGGAACCGTGTTTTTGATTATTCAACAATGGATCAATTTGATGATAAAACTTATGATATCCATAATGTATTGACAACATTACAAAAAAGTGAATCAATTGGTGAATCAATTCTTAATGATCGTACGGAAATTATCAATTTGGATCGAATACGACAAAAAAATCGTGAAGCATTAACTGCAATTAAAAATCATTATAATCATGGTGATGATGATGACCAAAATATTTATATTTGTATGGGTAATATGTTTATAAAACATCCAATAAAACGTGCACGTTCATTAATTCAACAGGATCAAAATAATGTTAATGAACAAATTGAAATTTTACATAAAAATGTTAAAAATAATGTTGAAAAAATCAATGAATTAGAAGGAAAATCTGAACAATTTCGTACATTTAATTTGAAACCATTAACATCATCCGAAATGAAAAGTTTTAATGTTATATTAGATTCAATCAAAAAATTGGATTTATAAATCAAAGAAAAATGTTCATTTAAAAAAAACAATTGAATTTTAAAATTTGAAAAAAAATAAGTCAATTTTTGATTTTGATTTTTTCAAATAATAAGACAAGGCCATTTAAAACGATTTGTTTCGATAAACAGTGAATAATTACTATCATCAAGTATGTTTTGATTTGTTGATTGTTTATTTTGTTCACCACCACCGCCACTTTGAAGATTTAATGGATCAAAATTTGGATCAATTTTTTGTTGTTCAACATCACTAATATCATCATCATTATCCGATGGATTTTTCAATCGGCCATCCAATTGATTTTTATTCATACGATCTTTACGATATTCTAACCAATATGTTTTCATCATTCCTTTACCTTTCAAACGGATTGTACCACGTTCTCGAATGATCCATTCATTTGGATCCAATAATCGCTGGGTTACTTCACTAATTTGGATTTTCATTTTAGCACTTGTTGTTTCCAAACGACTTGATGTATTTACTGTATCACCAAATAAACAATATCTAATGTTTTTGGAAATAAAATTGTTATTTTTTTTATAAAAACTTTTCACAAATTCAAATTCTACTTACCTTGGCATTTTTTGTCCAACAATTCCACCAACAACGGGTCCTATTTTTTTTAAAAAAAAGAAAGTTTTTTTTTGTGTTTTTTAAAACAGAAATTTTCTACAAACGACAATTTTACCTGTATGGATACCAATACGAATTTTAATATGTCTACCACGTGATGGATCACGAATCTGATAACAAGCATGTATCATATCTCTAGCAGCAAGGCAAACTTTACGTGCATGATTATAACTACTTTCTTCCTGGTGAACCGGCAGACCACCAGCAATCATATAAGCATCACCAACTGTTTCAACTTTATAAATATCATGTTTTTCGGTCAGACGATCAAAACAAGTATATGTTTCATTCAACATATTAACAACATCCATTGGTGCAATTTTACTACAAATTTCAGTAAAATTTATAATATCCGAAAACAGTATGGTTACCGATGCAAAATACTAATTTAAAATAGAAAAATTTTCGATTAATCAAGCAGAGAAAGCAAAATTCAAATCATTACCTGGCATGTTTCAATATTTTTTTCACCAACACGTAATTTATCGGCAATCTTTTTAGGGATTTATAAATGGAAAAAAAACAATTTTTACAATTAAAATTTTATTTACAAAAATTCAATTTACAAATCAACTTATCATTTGATATAATAATTCATCTGATCGACGTCTTTCTTCATCCAATTTTCTTATTGTTATTTCCAGTTGACGACTTTTACGTAATTCTTGATCTAATGCAAGTTTTAATTCTGCACTTTGTTGTTGACCAGCTAATACCATATCACGTGAAAAATCATGCATACTTAAATCATTTAAATATAATCCTGTTTTGATTAATGTATCTAGATTTGCGACACTGATGATGGGAGAAAAAAAAATTTGTCAAACTTGTAACAAACGAAAACAAATTCAAAAAAAAAAAAAAAAAAATCAAACTTACTTTGGGGCCCCAAGAAATGAAAAACATTTCCAACAATCNACCATATCACGTGAAAAATCATGCATACTTAAATCATTTAAATATAATCCTGTTTTGATTAATGTATCTAGATTTGCGACACTGATGATGGAAGAAAAAAAAATTTGTCAAACTTGTAACAAACGAAAACAAATTCAAAAAAAAAATCAAACTTACTTTGGTGCACCAAGAAATGAAATACATTTCCAACAATCAAAATAAATCATTTGTCCTTTTAATTTTAAAAATGATTGATTATTATCACCAACAGGTGATGAATCATTTAAAACAGTAACATGATTTGGTAATTGACCATATTCTTCACGATATTTAACTTCACGTGCAATTTCAACATCACTACGATTCATCATTTCATAATCGGCCAAATTTGATCGGCTATTATTACGTAATTCACGTATAATACGGCTACTATTATTACCACTTTTAAGTAAAATATCCAGTTTTATTTCAAACGTTGTATTTGTATGTCGTAATATCTAAATATTTGAGCAAACGAAAAATTGATTAATGATTGATTGATTGATTGATTCCCCCCGCACACACACGCTTACCGATTCCCAATTGAAATCAATTTTTGGTTTAATTAATGAAAATACTTTGGTTAAATTTTGTCCTAAAATATTTGGACAAACCATCTATGGGAAATTGGAAGAAAGAAAATCGATCAAAAATCAATAGAAAATTTCGGGGATCCAAAAAAAACAAACAAACCTTTAAACAACTACCAATTTGACAGATTTTCATATTTGAATCAAATACAATATTGAATGGAAATATATCCATAAATAATTCTAATGTAATTGGTGATAGATTTATATGTTCTAATGAATTATTTAATGAATAAAATTGTGTTAATTGTGTTTGTGTGGTAGTTGATGATGATGGTGGTAATGGTGATGGTGATGGTGATGGTGATAATGATGATTGTATCGATAATGGTGATGGTGATGGTGAAACATTACGATTCAGAATTAAATGTTGTTGCTGTGATAATGGACAATATTGATAATTTTGTATTTTGATTGGACTTTCACGGCTATTCGATGAATCATTATTATTGTTATTGTTATTGTTATTGTTGTTGTTGTTATTATTAAAATTATTTGTATAAAGTAATGGTGAATTGATTGATAATCTTGATAAACATCTTGATGATAAACTACCATGATGATTACTATGATGTTGATGTTCACCAATACCATTACGTAAACGTTCCAAATAAACACGATTATCAAAATGTAATTGTAAAATAAAATGATATTCATTTATTTCTTGATTTTCGCTTAATAATTCAACTTCAACATCGGTTGAATAAAATAATTTTGCAACTTTAAGTATTTGTCCAACAGTATACCATAATAGAAAATTACGTTTCGTTCGATAATGTAAAATAAGACCATATTCATTTTCATTATCACAAAAATATGATGGTGGTTTCAATCTGGGATAACTAAGCCGTAAATATTCATGTAAATCATCCAAACTGTTTAGGAAATCGCTAAATTCTCTTCCTGAAAGTAGGGGAAACAAAATTTTTTTAAAAAAAAAGTTAGCCATTTTTTGTACCAAAGGAAAATTCAATGACCCAAAAATGATAGATCATCAAATTTCATTATCAATTTCTGTGGGAAAAAAATTCCCAGATAAAATAAATTATCAAGCGACAACAACAACAACTGTTACTTTTATCTAATAATAATGATAATTTCAACCAGAGAATATCTAATTTGATTTATATATCGTCCATGATATTATTGAATTTTTTTCCTATGTTTTGTTCGTATCCAAATTGGCAATTATTACTCGAGGATGCAAATTTAATTATAATGCGAAAAAAAGCAAGGAAAGAAAGAATTGAAAAACAAACTAACTAATGGCTGTGTGACAAAAACAAAAAACAAGAAAGAAAGAATTTTTCCAAACATTCAGCCCGAAAAAAAATAATGATTCACCACACAGAGACTGAAAAAAAACTCATCAATAAATAATTTGAATAATTAGATCAGTACTTATCTAATTTCATCATAAAGTTTGATGATGGTAACTAAAAACTTTTATCACATTATCATCTCTCTCTCTCTCTCTTTTGCTCTTGTTTCGTTTCATTTTTTCATAACCAGATCCAGATCTTTGGTTTCTGGTTTGTCGATGTCTGTGTATGTCGTTTATTTATTTCGACAAAAATAAACGACAGAATAAAATTATTATTATGAAGGGGGTGAAAGAGAGGAAAATAAATGGGGGAGGAATGAGAAATTATTAAAATGTGGAAATCTTGCAAAGAAAGTTATTCTGAATAGTTTTTTTTGCTAATTTCCAATTGAAACATGAAGGAAAAATAAAATGAAACATACCCAATGCTGATAGTACAACATCATAACCATAACGACCAATAAATGTAACAAATGATTCACCAATACCAAGTAATAATTGTTTTTCCGATATACGTAGTGTCTTTGAAAACATAAAATTAATATTTTAAAAAAAAATCAACAAAAAAAATCAAAAATCAAAATGAACGAATTGAATAGGAAAAACAAAACAACGAAAAAACAACATTCTTACCTTACAAGCTTTATCGATAATATTTTTAGTATAAACATCCGGATAAACAGTATGTGTATGAAAACTTGTTTCTTCAATCTGTGCTTGTCGGCGAATTTCATTCCATTTATCAACACCAAAATTATCCTGTATATATTGGATAATATTTTCAATAAGTAGACCGTACATTTTTTGCTTTTTCTTTTCGGTAGATGGATTCAATCAATCAATCAATCAATCGATGAACAATATTGAGAAATGGGTGATGATCACAGATTAAAGAAAAAACAAAACAAAAAATTTTCAGGTAAAATGAGGCAAATTAAGGCAAATGATGATGAGGAAAACAACGAACAAACAAACAAACAAAATTGAACCACTGGAATACAGAATACAAACACAGAAACAAACTACTAAAAACTAAAATATGATGATATCACATGCAACAAACTTAAAAGTGACAACAACAACAAAAAAACATTTTAAGAAAACTGTTTTGTTTTGTTTTGTTTTAGTATATTTTGAAAAAATGTAATGTAATTTAGTTGTGAATCTCTAAATGACGCATGATCATCATATCATATGATTTGATATTCTGGAATCCCGGAAAAAAGCAGAACAAGCAGAAGAAGAAGAAAGTTTCAAAAAAACAAAAGAATGTTAATGATGATCATCAAAATGTTCAATCAGCCAAATCAATCAGTAAATTATGAACAAAATCAATATTTTTTTTGTTGTTGTTTCTCTGGATGATGATTTTCATAATTTATTTATTTGAAGAGAGAAATGCAAAAAAAAAGGGTGTCCAACAACATTATCATCAATATTGAGGCCATCGATCAGAAAATCAGTAGTAAAACAGTATTATTAAACTAGATTTTTCAGTTTCGATATTGATGATGATTATGTGTTGGATACGTTACGTGATAAACACATTGTCCAATTGTGAACGCAAACCACAAACACAAACACACAATGTTAGTTTAGTAATCGAAAATACTATACACGTTTTTTATTATCTGTTCGGTTCGGTTGTTTTGTTTTGTTTTGTTCTTTTGGATTTATAAATTCTTTTCACACATTATCATTGGTCATCGATAATAAGTTTGGTCATCAATGATAATCAATGATTTATGATTATAATTGTAAATTATCATTATAAAAACATTATTATCACATTTTCTTGTCTCTATATTCGTAAAACGTTGAATATATTATAAAATGTACGTTAAAATCCTTGGTAACAGGACTTTTTTTTCTGGCAAATTTGATAGGGTCGTCGTTGTTCAGTTGTTCAGTGGTATGTGTGTGTGTGTGTGTTTGTGACAAGTATGACAAAAAAAAATTAATTTAATTTTTTGATGAAAAATTTTTCAAATACCATTTACGTTTGAGGAAGTTTGAATTCAAATAGACAAACAAGCAAGCAAGATCAAAGATCAATAAATGATGAAAAGGATTTCACTGTGTGGATTTTATGGATTTTTCCTTTTTTTGTTTCGTTGGCTAAAATTTTTTTAAACAACAGAACATTATCCCCTGATGATGAACACAGGAAATGTGTTTGTGATTGCCCGGGTCATTGATATCAAACAGCAAAATGCAAAGAGAGAAATATGGTCAACAGATATGAACTAATTGTTGATTTTTCTGTTGGTTTTCAAATTAAAAATTAATTTTATCATTGCGATTGCATGCATGCTATTCAATCGAATTTGTCTTGTTCGACAATCATTTTGAATCGATCGAATTGATCGATGATTGATTTGATTAAGAAGAATTTGTTTTTTGTTTTTTTTTCATTTGCAAACCAAAAACAAACAGGCAGACAAAAAAAAGATTCGAAAACAAGATAGGAAATAGTTTTTTTCTAGCGATTTCTAGTAATGGTCAGTTTTTTTTTGACTTTTGAACAGCAAAAAATAAATTCCTATAGTGAGAAAAGGAAAGCTAATCATTCAGTCAAGTCAATGTCAGTGTTAGGATCCATTATTAAACAATTTTCAAAAGAGATTTCTAATTTGTTATTTGCTTTTTGCTTTTGTTTTGTTTTGGAAATCATTGTTTGTTGGAAAATTAATCAAAATCCGATCAATCGATACAGGAGGATGTCCAATTTTTTTTTGAATCAGAATTCAATCAATCAATCAATCAGATTAGATAACTGTAATAAATTGTAACAGTTTTTTTTGGAAACAAATAATGTGATAATGAAAAGTACGAAATCCATTTTATCACTTGATTGATTGATTGATTTTAACACATAATCAATCGATAATCAATCGATATGGAATGCCAGAAATAACTGGCAAAAAAAAGAAAGAAACGTGATGGAATTCAAGTTCTAATTTTTATCCGGTTCGATTTAATTAATTGATAAATCGATCAATTAAAAATTGATCATTTTAAAGTTGTTGTTGTTGTTGCTTTTCTAAATCAAATCACCATGGATTTTCTCTTTACATCAAAGAAGAAGAGAAAAATCGAAATCAGATGAGCCAATTATCGTATCTCTATATGGGTTAAAAATTATCGTTTGTTTTTGTTTTATGCTTACAAACAAACAAACAACAACAACAAAAAAGTATTGCAATGTAGGTAATATTATACCTTTTTGGAATTTTATTTTGTATACACATAATGCATCCACAATAATCATTATCCATAATCGTCGTTTGTTGTTGTCTCTTTTGTTATTAACAAAAAAAAATTATCATCAAGGTGAACAGACTAAAATTATAATTAATTAAATTAATATAAATAGATAATGGATTACGGATTTTCAATTTCTTTCTTTCCTTTTGTTTTTCAATCGTTGTTGTTGTAACATTTTACAACATTAAGCATCGACATTCTCTCACACATTTCTTGATTCGATTCTGATTACCATCATCATCATCATGCCAAAAAGTTAATTGAAAAAAAATTTGAATTTAATCATCATCATTTTTCTAATTCTTTACCAAACGATAAAATTTTCATTTTTTTTTTTTTTTTTAAATCCAGGAACGGATCGTAAAAATGGATCCGAAAATGATCATCAACAACAACATGAAGAAATGGAATTGGATACTTATTTCAATAATAAAATTGAAATTCCACATGATCCATATGAAGATGTATGTTTCAAAAATTTTCTTTCGCATTTGTTTTATCGTTTTTGTTGTTGTTGTTGTTTTTTTTACAGTATTCATTTAGTTGGAGAAAATTATGGGCATTTACCGGGCCTGGTTTCCTGATGTCGATTGCATATCTTGACCCGGGAAATATTGAATCCGATATGCAAACAGGTGTTATTGCTAATTATCGTTTACTTTGGGTATTACTTTATTCAACTATATTAGGTTTATTGATGCAAATATTATCAGCACGTATGGGTGTTGTAACCGGGAAACATTTAGCTGAATTATGTTATTCACGTTATCCAAAATTTCCAAGGTTATTATTATGGATAATGACCGAAATTGCTATTATTGGTTCGGATATGCAAGAAGTTATTGGTACTGCATTAGCACTTTATATGCTAACAAATCGTTGGTTACCATTATGGGTTGGTGTTTTACTTACCATTCTGGATACGGTTACATTTTTATTTTTGGATAAATATGGTCTTCGTAAATTGGAATCCTTTTTTGCTTTTCTTATTACAGTTATGGCAGGTGAATAGGAGTTTTCATTCAATGATTTTTATCACAAAATCTTTTAATTGTTTTGTTTTTTTTTCAAATATTCAAACAGTAACTTTTGGTTATGAATTTTTTCTTGCAAAACCTAATGCCGGAAAAATTGGTTTAGGAATGGCATTGCCATATTGTAAAGATTGTGATAAAGATGTTTTATTACAAGCAGTCGGTATTGTTGGTGCTATAATTATGCCACATAATCTTTATCTACATTCAGCATTGGTAAAATCACGTAATGTTAATAATCGTAAACGATTGGAAACAAAAGATGCAAATCGTTATATATTGATTGAATCAAGTATTGCATTATTTGTATCATTTTTGATTAATTTAGCTGTTACGGCAATATTTGCACATGGTTTATTTGGTAAAACAAATTCAGATATTTATCATTTATGTTCAAATCATACAGAAAAATTTATCAATATGGATATATTGGATAATGATAATGAAATATTTAAAGCTGATCTTTATCAAGCTGGTCTATATCTTGGCTGTCAATTTGGTGCATTACCATTTTATATTTGGGCAATAGGTATATTGGCTGCTGGTCAATCATCAACAATGACCGGTACATATGCCGGACAATTTGCAATGGAAGGTTTTCTTAATCTTAAATGGCCACGTTGGAAACGTGTACTATTAACACGTAGTATTGCAATTGCACCAACATTAGCTGTAACAGTATTTTCGGATATAAAAAAATTAACCGGTATGAATGATTATCTAAATGCATTGATGGTCATACAATTACCATTTGCCGTACTGCCAACATTAACATTTTCATCATCCAAATTAGTAATGGGAAAATTTGTTAATAATTTATTCAATCTAATTATTGCAACAATATTATCAATTATTGTTATTGCAATTAATGTTTATTCACCAATACAATTAACGATTGATAATTCTGATCAACAAAATCGACCATTTCTTTATCCATTATTAATTATTGTTGGTATTCTTTATGTTACATTTATTTTTTATCTGGTAATTATATCTGATTTGATTATTTTACCTTTTTTAATTGCAATTTTTTCTTTTTTCATTACAAAAATCAAACTACAAAACAAAAAAGGTTGGCTGCTTTCTTAGTGTACTTGGTGTACGTTTTCATGAACGAATTCCAGTGATTGGAAAATATTTTAAAGAACCAGATGAAATTGAATTTAAATATATTGATTAAATCAAATCTGAATCTGAACTTTTGTTTTATCATTTAAAATTATAAACGAAAATATTTGTTTTACAAGAAAAAAAATTAAAAAAAACTGATCTCAAAATAAGAAATTTTAGATCAAAACAATTTGAACATCGCCAAATAAATAATAAAATCATTGTATTTCACTTTAAAAAAATACAAACGTCGTAGTTTGTTTGTTTGTTTGTTTTAAAATGGGGAGGGTTCTTTGTTTTTGTTTTATTGTTTGTTGTTTTTGTTACAAGGATGGTGATCTAAGAAATATTTGATTGATTAATTAAAAGGAATTATCATCAACATTTTTAAAATCCTGATAATCTTTTCAATTTCAATCAAAAAAAAAAAAAAAAAATACAAATTAAAAACTTTTGTAATCAATCAGAAATGATAAACAGACTGATCATATAAAAATTATTATTATTATTGAAAAGGAAATTGTTTATACAAAAAGAAAAAGAATTTTGAAAATTTGTAATGTAATTTAGATAAGAAAAATCAAAACAAAAATAAATATGAAATCCCCATCCTAAAAAAAAGTACACAAAAAAAAACACCACGAGAATCCTGTGTAAAAAAGGATTTTTTTTATTGATTATTTTGTGCCCAAAATAATAAGAAATGTCTTGCATCTTTTTTGTTTTCATTCTACACCTTGTGTTTGGGCACAAAAGGTCATCACTAACAATCATATACAGTCAATAAAATTTTCACGCAATTATCCTTGCGGATATGCGTTTTTCAATAAAATTATTATTAATTATTATACAGTCAATAAGGATTTTTTTCCAACAAAAAAAAAAGAAAAAAAGAAGGGGTTTGTCGAATGATGACAGGTATTTAAAAGAATGATCTGATCCAATATCAGAGACAGAAGATATTCTTTTTTTATGATCAATCAATACATCTTTGTCTCTGTTTTTCGTATTGTGATCTGTGATTTGTAAAGAATTTCAAACAATTTCTAGTGATGGCGACTTTGACGATGGTTCAAATGAACAAAAGTTTGTCAATGAATATTTTTGAAAATTTCGTTCTTTCAATAATCTTTGCTGTTTATTTTTTCTTCAATTTTCCAAATTCACCACAGACACAGAATCTTCGGAAACAAATAATGAAAATGAAAATGGCCAGAAAAAATTAGAATTGGATACATATTTTCAATCTGAAATCGATATACCTGAATGTTTGGATAATGATGTAAGTAAGATTCGAAAGATTCAAAAATGTTTGCTTGTTTGTTTGATAAATAAATTTGTTTTACAAAGTATTCATTCAAATGGAAACGTTTATGGGCATTTACCGGACCAGGTTTATTAATGTCGATTGCATATCTTGATCCGGGAAATATTGAATCCGATATGCAATGTGGTGTTATTGCTGGTTATAAATTATTATGGATACTGTTATGGTCAACATTATTAGGTTTATTAATACAAATATTATCAGCTAGAATCGGTATTGTAACTGGTAAACATTTAGCTGAATTATGTTATAATCGTTATCATCGTATACCAAGATTATTATTATGGATAATGACTGAAATTGCTATTATTGGTTCGGATATGCAAGAAGTTATTGGTACTTCATTAGCACTTTATATGCTGACAAATCGTTGGTTACCATTATGGGCCGGTGTTCTTATAACAATATTCGATACGTTTTCATTTTTATTTTTGGATAAATTTGGTGTAAGAAAATTGGAATCATTTTTTGGTTTTTTAATTGCAATCATGGCCGGTAATTTAATTTACAGTTTGTTTCGGGAAATTCCGCGGAAATAATAACAATATCTTTTTTATTCGTCGTTTTTTTTCGTTTTTTAGTTACATTTGGATATGAATTTTTTGTCGTACAACCGGATATTAAAGATATTGTCATTGGTTCAGCATTACCATATTGTAGTGGTTGCAATAAAAAAGCATTATTACAAGCAGTTGGAATTATCGGTGCAATTATACAGCCACATAATCTTTATTTACATTCAGCATTAGTAAAATCACGTCGTGTAAATAATAAAAAAAGTTTAGAAACAAAAGATGCAAATCGTTATGTTTCAATTGAATCGGCTATCGTTCTATTTATATCATTATTAATCAATATGGCTGTTATATCGGTTTTTGCTAAAGGTTTGTTTGGTAAAACAAATCATGATGTTTATGAAATTTGTGAACAACAACAATCATCAAAAAAATTTATCGATATGAATGTATTGAAAAATGATAATCAAACATTTGATGCTGATCTTTATCAAGCTGGTATATATCTTGGTTGTGAATTTGGTTCATTACCATTTTATATTTGGGCAATCGGTATATTGGCTGCCGGACAATCATCAACAATGACCGGTACATATGCCGGGCAATTTTCAATGGAAGGTTTTCTTAATCTTAAATGGCCACGTTGGAAACGTGTACTATTAACACGTAGTATTGCAATTGCACCAACATTTTTTGTTACAATATTTTCCGATGTACAAAGTTTAACCGGTATGAATGATTATCTAAATGCATTAATGGTTATACAATTACCATTTGCCGTACTGCCAACATTAACATTTTCATCATCAACATTAGTAATGGGAAAATTTGTTAATAATTTTTTCAATTTTTTTATTGCAACAACATTATCGATTGCTGTTATTGTAATCAATATTTATTTTGTTATACAATTAATTATTGATAAATCCGGTAATTATTCATATATTACATATCCGGTAACATTTATAATTGGATCATTTTATCTAATATTTATTCTTTATCTGGTAAGTTATACTGGCGATAAATTGATTCATTCGATTTTAACTATCATTATTATTTTTCATTAACAGAAAGGATGTTTTCTCAGTGTTTTGGGTGTTCGTTTTCATCAGAAAATACCGTTGATTGGAAAATATTTTCAAGAATCAAATGAAAAAGAATATAAATATTTGGATTAATATGGATTATATGAATGGACCACATCGATTGGATTCGATCACAAAACAGATTTTTCAAAAAATTTTTTTAAAAATAAAAATTGTAAACAAAAATTAATTAACTTTTTTTTGATAAAAAAAAAATGTCTGTGATTAATAATAATGATCAATCGATTAATAAAGAATCGAATGAAAAATCCTATAAATCTCTTTATTGTTTAATAAATGATCAATCTTTTCATGCTGAATGTGAATTATTGAAACGAATGTCACCGAAAATCGGTATTCGTTTAAGAAATTCTGAATATTCACGTTCGATTGAACAATTTTGTCGTTGGATTGATAAACTTTGTTCGAAAATCAAACATTTTCCCAATGATTATAATCAAATTACCGTCAATAAATTGGAACAATTTGGTTTTTGTTTATATAAAATTTCGATTATATCGATGAAAGTTTTCAGGTTAGTTCAATGATAATGATGATCATTTTCTTTTTTTTTCTAACCAAATGAAATTATTAATAAATCAACATAGACTTTCGAAAATATGGATCGAATTAGGACAATTGATTAATCATTTTCTTATGATCATTGGTTTAGCTTCACGAATATGGTATGTGTGTTTGGTCGATTTCCAAAAAATCAAACTGCTGTTTAATGAATGTATTTTATGTTCTTTCTCTCCCAGTATTTTTATCAAAGCAATGATGGTCTATACATATGATATCTATAATCATCATCTACATGATGATGATAATGATAAATTGAAAAATTTTTTTAATAAAATGGGCATACAGGCAATATCGACAAAAATGATTGATTCGGGAAGAAAACTGAGTATCGTTGAAAACAATAATGATCTTGGAGGTTTGTTTGTTTATTTTTTTCGAGAAAAAATGAATAATTCTGTTTGTTTACCAGTTCCAATCGATAGAAAACTTTTTCAATCATCATCAAAATTAACGACAACAACATTACAAACAAATCCAATCAAAACAACAAAACAAATGAAAATGAAACAAAATTTTATTTCAGTTCAAATTGATGATAAAGAAAAGAAGAAACAGCAGAATTTTGGTCGGAAAAAACTACGAAAAAAAGTATTAAGAAAACTTTCGATGGCCAACAAATTTACGGTGATGATTGAATCAGCCCTTTGAAAGAATGTAAACCATCATTTATTGTTTGAAACGTTCGAAATAAATTTCAATCTGTTTAGCCAAACGAATATCACGTTCACTAAGACCATTCACATCATGCGATGAAAGTAAAATATTAACACGATTATAACAATTAAACCATTCAGGATGATGATTCATTTTTTCAGCTTTCATGGCAACTTGTGTCATAAAACTAAATGCTTCAATGAAATCTTTAAATTGAAATTCTTTTGTTATTGCATCACGACCAGATTTATCCATTGACCATTTTTGTTCCAATAATGGTTGTAATAATTCTTTACGTTGTTCATCATTTAATTTTGTTGCAGACATTTTTTTCACTTTTGATGATATGGATGCTTTATTCGTTAACGATGATAATGAATTGAATTTATTATGATCAATAATGATTGAATGTTTTCCACCGAATAATTTACGTTTGATAATATTGTTGCTATTGCTGTGCGTAATAATTGATCGATTGATAACGTTGATCAATGAGAATAAATCCTGTCGAACAACTAATAAGGCAGACATTGAATGGCGAGTTTCTTTCTGTTGAAATGATACTGCTGCTATATTATTTTCAAAGATGTTTAAACATGAAACGGACAAACTCGAAAATAATTTATTTTTTATTCAATTCAATGAGAAAAAAAATCAAGATAAAATTATGTGATTGAAAACAAAAATCAAATCCAGAAAAAAAAGAAGACGCATGTAAAAGTGAATTGAATCAATCGACCGACATGAATTGAAACACGTTGATTACGTACTATAACGACGGTACACATTTTGAATTGAATTAATCTTTTTAAATAATTTCATTTAATGATAATCAAAAAAAAAATTTTATTAATTCCATTTAATTATAAATAAATGTGTGTAATTAATTAATTATCAATCATTATTTTTAATAATAAAGCTAAAAATATAAATTTAAATAAATAGGGATCAAATCATCGATTGATTACCTATTAAGTGATAATGAATGATGGGGATTTTTGTTTTTGTTTGATGCAAATGAATTAAATTGGTTACTTTTTTTTGTTGTTTTTTTTTGAATAAAAATTGGTTATATAATACTAGTTATGATAATATATCAAATTGGTCAAAAATAGATGATGATTGTTTTTTGTTGTTGTTGACAATCTTAATCTTATCCTTACCAATTTTTTTCTTAATTAAGCATAACTATTAAATCGATCTGTATTCGATGTTGTCGATGATGAATGTGTACCATTACCAAAATTTGGTCTTTTACCACCACTACTACCAAAACGATTATTATCATCATATTTTCGTTTCATTCCACCACCAAAACCATTAGAAACATTACCACCATTAGAATATCCATTACTGAATCCATTACTACTAAAACGACTACCACCACCAGCAGTGAAACGTGAATTTCCAAACGATGATGATCCATAAAATCCACCACCACCACCATAACGTTTCCGGATATTTTTACCAAATCGATGTGATTGACTAGCAAATTCATATAATTTTGCTGGTACTTCTTGTTTTGCTTCTTTCAATACATCAATCAAATCACTTGCTTGTTTAGCATTGTTTAATGTAAAAAATGTATATGCTGTTCCTTTACGATCACGACGACCAGTTCGGCCAATACGATGTACATAATCTTCACTGCATGTTGGATAATCAAAATTGACAACATATTTTATGTCATCAACATCTATTTTTTTTCAATTGAAATTAATTTAGATTAGAAAAAAAAATTCCGAAAACAAAATCATAATCATTAAAAAAAGAGGGTAATTTCTATTTGAAAAAAAATGACAAAGGGAATTGGAAGAAAAATACCAATAGAAATTAGTAATTATAAAAATTACTAAAAATACCTGTGTGTATGGTACTTGCTTGATTTACTTATTTGCCGAGTTTTATATTTCATATTCGGGTAGCACACCAACAACAACAACAACAAAACTTGGTCATTCCATTCACCATTATCGTTGTTGTTATGTGTAAAAACCGACGATCATACACCATGAGAACTCAAAATTAAAAAAAAAAACACCACACAAACGATGAACGGTGTTTCATGGTCTACAGATGATGATACTAACACTAAACTAAACTCAAACATAATACATCTCATTTGAATAAAACTCAAAACTCGGAAATAATTTTGTGGGTGAGTATGGAAAGAAAACTCTGGATTCTTAGTTTTTAAACGAACAATCTCTGTGTGTTCCAAAAATTGATGCCATGGCTTTTTATGGTAATGTGAAAACGGACATAATTTATTCGGACCCGACGACCATTTTCATAGTGATTATCGTTGATGTTTATGTGCGCGGTTGGAGAACACACAGATCGATGAATCGATGATTGTTATTTTTTCCTGTGTCCTCCCGCCGACGTTCATCAATCCATAATTTGGTTTTGAGTGTGTGGGTGGTGTGCATGAATGTCGTCGAGTCGATTATATCATTATCATCATCATCAATTTTTAAATGGGAAGCCACAGCAACGAAGTTTGGTTTTTGCAGATATAGGTTGTTCGTATTAAAGATGATGGTTTCCACAAGTTTCTGGACAAAACACTTATTTTAGAAAAAAATTGAACTTAAAATTCAAGTCCAGAAATCCCATCATAAACACATTTTCGTTTTGTCATAGATAGACAAATTTTTTTTTGTTTTACATAAAACAAAAAAAAACAAAAAACACCGAAAAGGACATTTCACAAATTTGCCAATTTTGCTAAAAAATTGAATTGGCATGATGAAATCTCCTCCTCTTCTTTTTGTTTAGCCGTTAAGATCCAGAATTTTCAACCTTTTTTTTTGTTTGGGAAAAAAACAAGCAAGAAACACAGATAATGAAAAAAGTTTTTGTCAATATAAATCAAATAAATAGAATCATCCATAGACGATTTCAACGATTATTTTGGTAATGGAGAAAAATCAATGTGTGTGTGTGCGTGTTTGTGTACTTACCAAGACCACGAGCAGCTACATCGGTTGCAATCAGAATGGTTGTACGGCCATTTTTGAATTCTATAAGAAAAAAAATTAAAGAATTTAAAAAAATTGTCTCAAATTTATCCTTGACATGATTTCATCAATCAATATTTTATCGATATAGAAAACACGCCTACACAAAATTTTGCCTTAATTTGGCCCAATATTGTCACCTTTTATCAATCAATTAGATGATAAAAAGTCGGAAAATAAAGGGCTACCCAATTTATAAGAAAAAAAAACAACATCACTTACCGTTTAATGCCCAATCTCTTTCGGTTTGTGGTTTGTCACCATGTATTGCACTACAATACCAACCAACCGATTTCATTTGTTGATTTAATTGATCAACTTTACGTTTAGTTTCGGCAAATATGATTGTCTTATTTTCACGACTATTTGCATTAACTTGTGTTAATAATTTATATAGCTTGTCCATTTTTTCACTTTCTTCACAGACATCAATCAGTTGTGTGATATTATGATTGGCTGCCAATGAAATTGAACCAATATTGACCTATAGAAGAGATTAAAAAAGGATCATTATTTGTTTTTATTTCAGAAACAAAAAACTTTCAACAAAACAAACAAACCTGTACATAATCAACAAGAAAATCTTCGGCAAGTTTTCGTACTTCTTTTGGCCATGTAGCCGACCACATTAATGTTTGTCGATTTTTTGGAATTTGATCAACAATTTTACGAATCTGTGGTTCGAAACCCATATCAAGCATACGATCAGCTTCATCCAAAACTAAATAACTAATATTATGTAGTTTAATTGCTCCTTCTTCAACAAAATCAATCAAACGTCCAGGGCAAGCAATAATAATCGATGGTTGTGTACGTTCAATTTCACGACGTTGACCACCTTTTGATGCACCACCAAAAACACAAACAGCACGTGTGCGAAACAAATTAAAAACTTCTTTGATTTGTTGTGCTAATTCACGAGTAGGTGCCAAAACCAATACACTTGGTCCATATTTACGACGATGTACATTACCATCAACATGTACTAAAGCCGGTAATGCATATGCTAATGTTTTACCCGAACCAGTTTGGGCAATACCAACAACATCACGTCCATTTAAAGCTAATGGCCATGCTTGTGATTGAATTACGGTTGGTATCGTAAATCCTTGTTTCATAATTACATGCATTATACCATCAGGTAATCCAATCAGATCGGTAAATTGTAAAATTGGATTCGAAACTCTTGGTCCACGAAATGTAACACTATTTGTACTTAGCCATTGATTGATTTCAAATTGAGATCTTTGACCGGTTGCTGGACTTTCACGATAAAAATTTTTATGTACCGGTAAATCTGCTGGTGGTGCCTGAATTGGAACTATGTAAATGCAGAAAAAATAAATAAATTTATTTCATTCAATTTTGATGAAAATCTTAATATCAACCAACCTTTAGCACCAAAACTTCGATAACCACCACCACCGCCACCAAAACCATTTGCACCATTAGATCGATTTGCAAATGAATCACGTGAACGATTAAAGCCATTACTGTAATTATTTTGATGGTTATTGAAACCAATACCACCACTATTACCACCAACATCACGAGATCGATGTTCACTGTTGTAATTGTTGTATCGATCATTTGATCCACGTGTTGTACCATTAGTATAGGTACTGAAATGTTTCAAAAAGAATGTTAAATGTTAACCATCAACGATAAAACCTAAAACAGTAAAAAACTTACCTTTTGCTAGTATTGTTGAAATATTTCTTTTCAGTCATTTTGTTGTTGTTGTTATTACCTAATTTATCAATTTATTTAATTAGTTATAATTTGAATATGAAAAAAAAGAAAATGATTGGGAAAAATGAATTCAATTTGAAAAAATTTCCTAAAATGTATGATGTGTTCGGAATGAAAGAACAATACGTTTTAAAACTTTGCTGCTCACACCAAACACTGATTTGGCCTGCTCAATTTATATGTAGGCCATACGAGCATGCTCACAATGCTTTATTCGATCGGCTTGTTCCGTATGTTGTTCATATAGTATGTATTCGTTTGTTTTTTTTTTTGATTTTATCATTAATTAAATCACGAGAAAAAGATAAAAAATTTCATATAGCAACCTTGAGATTTGTAAAGATAAAATTGAATCCTTTTTTTAAATTGAAAAAAGTGTAGAATTTAAATTGAAAAAAGAATTTGGATTTAAAAACAAATTAAAAATGAAATATGATAGTTGATAAACATTTTTATACGTTGTTCTTTGTTTGTTTTAACAAGCGAATCAATTTGTCGGGTATAAACAAAAAAAATCGACAACGGAATATTTTTTGTTCGAAACAAAAAAAAAATATTTTGAAAGAAAAAAATGATGAAATTAGATTCACCGTTTATCAATGAAATGAATGATCAAATATCATCCGAATCAACGAATATTAATGGAAAAAATTCGGAAAAAATTTCAAAATCATCACCATCAGTATTTGACAGTGCACAACGTGTTCAAATTCAACAATATCTGCATACAGTTTCTGGACAATTAATTAAGCCAACAATTCAAGAAATTGAACATAATTATGCAAAATGTCCACATATAAATCCAGATCCACAGATTTATGCACAACCAACCAAATATCTTTTTATGAAACATTTTCCTCGACATCTAACTGGATCATCATCATCATCATCGAATAAATATCAACAACAATCGGATGATGATATCGATGTTGTTACATATGATGAAATGAAAAAGATTCCATTTCTAACACCAAAAGTAAGTTAATATTTTAATTCAATTTGAATTTCTTATTATCTTTGAATTTCTTAATTCCATAATAGCCACCACCTATACCGATAAAAATTGATGAAGATATTGCTGAAATTGATTCATCCATTACGGATAAATGGACAAATGAAAAGAATAAACTATGGACACGTGCAACAAAAATTATTCATTCAGATCGTATGGCACGTTTATCATTTGAAGGTCATGTTAATGAAGTACTATTAAAACGTAATCTACAAGATCATACTACACAAAAATTTCGTGAATTATTTTCATCAACATTTTGGAATTCAAAATTATTGGAATGGTTACATGAAACATTACTTGAACATTTGAATATAAATTATCAACAAGTTTATATTGAATCATTACAAATTCTTCGGCAAAAAATACCCACATTAATCGAACGATTTTATCATGTTAAAGATCGAATTGAAAATAAAAATCGACCAACATTGAATGATCCATTATTTAATACATTAAGTCATTATAAACCGAAAAAACTTCCAAGAAAACCAATATTTATACTTGTACCGAATGGACCGAATCAAAATTTAAATCAAACTAATTCTCCGCGTTTGAAATATTGGAGTTCATTGCTTAGTTCGATGGGAAAATTAGTATCATTATCTGTACCGGCTAAACCAACTGATTATATTGCCGACATACTTAACGATATACGTTATGTTGTAAATGAAAAAATTAAAAATTGTAAAAATTCCTATTCATCAAGACCAGTAGTATTGATTGGATTTAATTCAGCATCAGTACTTGCAGTACATTGTGCATTACAAAATCCTCGTTCAATTGCTGCTATTGTTTGTTTAGGATTTCCATTGAAAACAATTAATGGTAATCGTGGTGAATTAGGTGATACAATTCTAGAATTATCATGTCCAATACAATTTATAATTGGTGAAAATTCTGTACTAACACCATTGGATGATATTGAAGATTTTCGTGAAAGAATGACACGTTCTGAAACAAATCTAATTGTTGTTGGTGGTGCTGATGATAAATTAGTTGTATCGAATATAAAAAAACGTTTAGAATGTCTTACACAATCAATGGTTGATCGTTGTATTGTTGATGAAATTTATGAATTTTTATCACCAATATTAATGAATTATAATGAAGATAGTAATGGTTATTGTTGTTATAATAATCAAACAACAACAAATCAATCATTAACAATGAATAAAGATACACGTTTATATCGTTTTATACATGATGAACATGGACAAACATCAATTACTGGATCATCAACATCATCGAATCGAAAACGATCATCATCATCAAGAAAACGTAATAAAATTGATCAAGATTCATCAATGACAACGATGATGATGAATTTGGATGAATCAAATAAATCAACACCTAAACGTAAACGAACATCAAGATCAACAAAAAAAGATCAAATAATAATGTTAAATGATATTAATAATAGTATGAACAATGATCGAACACCTGGAACAATTACAACTACATCAACAAATATTAATAATAATAATAATAATTTTGCACAAATTCTTGGCCGTAGTACAGTATCGAATACAATAACGAATCCAACTAGTTTTACATTAGTACCATATCAACCACAATTATTATCATCATCAACATCAACAACAACATTAACGAATATTGATAAACAACAATCGCAACAACAACAACAACAATTCAGTAATATAAAGATTGAAAAATCACAAATAATTTCTATTGATAATTTTCCATTAACAACAATAACGAAAAAAATTGTTAAAAAAACTACAAGTCCAACGGCAATTCATTTGGCTAGTTTGGATTCATTTCCAACAACATCTACGTCAACTTTATCATCATCATCATCATCGATATCAACATCTGTAACAACAATAACAACACCTACTTCTACTACTACCGGTAGTACACAAAATATTACAAGAACTTGTGGTCGAGAAATAAGACCACCAAAATCATTAGATTTTTAGAAGAAGAAAAAATTATTTTAAAAATTACAAAAAATTGTAATTTTTTTTTCATCAAAACACATAACGCCATCTTATGGATTAATTATTGAATAAAATTATTTTTTCCCATTTTATCCAAATACACGCAATCATTTTGATTGTGATTGAAAAAATTATTATGGTGGTGGTTGGTTGGTGGTGTTTATAAATGATGTGTATATAAATCATGTTGATTTAATGAATCAAATTTCAAATTTCAAAAAAATAAATTGATTGGCGTTTCTATTTGTTTGTTTGTTTATATTTTCATTTCCCAATCATCATCATCATCTAAATTGATTATTCTGTTTTGGATTCATTCATCAAATCAAATAAATAAATAAAATGATGGAATTTATATTTTGTTGGCAAAATTATAATCATCAATTAAAATTCAAAAATTCAATACGTTTGATAATCATTACATGTTTGAATATTTTTCTACTAATAAATTATTCAAATTCAATAGTTCAAGCATCGACAACAACAGTTACATGTGGTTCGGTATTAAAATTAATGAATGTAAATTCAGGTATACGTCTACATTCACATGATATAAAATATGGTTCAGGTAGTGGACAACAATCAGTTACCGGTACTGATAAACAAGAAGATGTTAATAGTTATTGGCAAATTGGACCAAAAACCGATGAACAATGTGAACGTGGACAACCAATTAAATGTGGTTCAATAATACGTATTCAACATTTACAAACGAAAAAAAATCTACATTCACATCATTTTCCATCACCATTATCACATAATCAAGAAGTTAGTGCATTTGGTCAAAATGGTGATGGTGATACTGGTGATAATTGGCAAATATTATGTGGTGGTTCAAATTGGGAAATGAATTCAAATGTACGTTTTAAACATGTTGATACGGAAATGTTTCTATCATCATCTGGTCATGTTTATGGCCGACCAATACAAGGACAAATGGAAATTATTGCAAGTAGTTATTCCGATTCATCGGCTTATTGGATTGCAAAAGAAGGTATTTTTGTTAAACCAAATGATAATGATAATAAATTTATTGGTGGTGGTGGTGGTAGCCACGATGAATTATGAAAATTTATAAAAATTTTGATTGTAAATTTGATTATCACAAATAAATGAATGAAGAAAGAACACTGAATAACCAAAAATCAATTTCTCTCGCGATTTATGTCTTTAGGTTTTTTCAATTTCAATTTTTTTGTTTTATTTTGAAATTTTGTAAATTAACAATTTTTCTTCAAATTTTTTGTTTTCGAAAAAAATGAAATAAAATGAAATAGACAAACAAAAAGCGAGAAAAGAGATTTTAACAAATTAACTTTGTTTTTTTACTAAATGTTTGGAAAAAAAAGAATTGGAAAAGATTGATTTTGTGTGTGTGTGAAAATAGTTGGTTGTTTGACCAAAAAAGTGATGATTTTTGAAATGATGATGAATGGAATATAATGGATGATAACTAGCGATTTTGTTTTGTTTGTTTTTTTTAATGTTTTCTATGTTAAATTATCAAATTTTTCCATTGTTGATGGTTCATGATCAGTTTTACGTAATTCATCATAACGTTTACGTAATTGATTTGATAAACGTTGTTTATCAGGCATTATATAACCAGGTGCTAATAGCCGTAATAAACGTTGAAATCCTTTTCCTTGTAATACACATAATGGTCGACAATCAGTAACAAGAAAATCAATTAAACATTGTGTTATATCATCAACAAATATTATACTATCTAAACTACGATCAGGTAATGGTTCATCTTCAATTGTTATTTGACCAATATTATTATTATTATTATTATTATTTGAATGATAATAACTATCATTTGATGTACCGACAATATCCATACTATCATTACCAATAGTATCATCCATAAAATTTGAATATGATCGTTTTAATTGACGTGATGTTTTCGATGTTGGTGTATTACGCATCTGTACTTCTGAATGCATTGATTTTAAATGTGAATAAAAATTTGTTGTATTTCCGGAATAACAAAATGTTGATGCACATATTTTACAAACAACTTTTGTACGATCCATTATTTGACCATCATCATTGGCAACAAAACCAAAATAAGTCCATACTTCGGAACGTGCATGTGGTAATGGTACAACCTAAGTTATAATTATATTTTTTAAAATTACAAATCGATTAATTTATAATGACAAAAAAAAACAAACTTACCCGAACAACTTGAATATTATCAACATTTTCTAATTCTGATTGATTTTTATCACCACCATGTCCATCATCATCATCAACATCAACAACATTATGATCATTATGATCAATATGAACATTATGATTATCCATTGATGATGATGATTGTATTATTTGTGGTTGTTCATCATCATCATCATCATCATCATCAATAATTTCTGTTGATTGTTCTTGTTTATTATTATTCTGATTATTATTGATAGCATCAATAGCGATCGGTATTTCAGTTTCATCACCACCACTGTTGTTATTGTTATTATTATTATTATTTTTATTCGTTATCGTTCCCATCGATATATTTTTCATCATTTCAGCAACATGATTATATTCATTACGATGTTTACGTTTTAAATGATCAATAAGATTTGTTGTATTACCCGAATTACGATATGTACTTTCACATAGTAAACATTTTGTATTTTTAACATCAACTGGTTCAAAATAATGCCATATTGGTGAACGTGAATTTTTTGTTTTAGTTTCAGACATTTTCCTTTTCCAAATTAATTATTTATTTTCAAATTTTGTGAGAAATATGATCAACAACGTGAAAATCAACAGTGAATTTGTTTTCCTGCAAAAATAATAATATGAGATAATTGGAGAGAAAAAAAAATTTAAAATTAAAATAATTAAAAAAGAAAATCAAATCGAAAAAAATAAAGAATAGCGCGGGTAAATGGAAAAAATCGTAAACGATACAAAATTTCAAAATTATTGATATATCGATACTTTTGATGGTCACACACACCGAATGGGCCAACAACATTAAAGAAATCGAATTGCGAGCGAAAAAAAAATATCAAACGAGCATCGTTTTTTTCGTTAAAAACGAAACAACAATCGAACAAAAAAAAACAATCGATGGATTTTTAGTTCGTTTTGTTACCGTTAGCAAAACTCAATGTTAGTGGCGCTACTAGCGCAATGAAAAAAACAACGTGATTTTAGCGTCCGTTCATAAACAATGTTTTGTTTTTTTTTGTCAAATCATCTAAAAGCGCGCGAATTTTCAAAATAAAACAAACACGGTTCCGGAAATAACATTAATTCTAATTTTAGTTGATGATTATCAAATAGGTGATTTGATAGTTTTTTTGGTTAATTCAAAACCAGATCATATAAATAAATTGAAAAATAATATCACATCAATAAGATTATCAAAGGCAAATTGGTTACTATGGAAATTTGATTTTATCAATATAAATCAAAAAAGAAAAAAAAAGTTGATCACGTTTCTGTGACATGTATTATCGTTTGAGTGGATTGACAAGCGAACGAATGCATCCATATAAAAATGAATGCATTCAATCCATTTCATTCATATTTTTTCGTTGACTATTTTTTTTTTGTTTTAATAAGTTTTTCTTTGTGCAAGTGTTAAATCATGTCAAATTTGAAAAGAAGTTCAAGTAAATATCGTAAAGATAAAGATACAAGCTATATGCTTGATCATTTAAGTTCATTAGATATTGATGCTGAAATACCATATGAACGTTTGACCGGTATTATCTGTACAATTGGACCGGCATCCAAAAATGTTGATATATTAGTAAAAATGATACGTTCCGGTATGAATATTGCACGTTTAAATTTTTCACATGGTACATATGATTTTCATCGTGAATTAATTGAAAATGTACGTAAAGCAGTAAAAATTGCAGCCGCTGATTATGATGAACAATTTTTACCTGTTGCTATTGCATTGGATACAAAAGGACCAGAAATTCGTACCGGCCTATTGGAACAAGGTCCAACAGCTGAAGTAGAATTGATTAAAAATCAAATGATTCGTATAACAGTTGATGATGCTTATCGTGAACGTGGATCATCCAAAATTCTTTATATTGATTATAAAAATCTGGTTAAAGTTGTAAATATTAACAGTAAAATATTTATTGATGATGGACTTATTTCATTGTTGGTCAAAGAAAAAGGTTCAGATTATCTTGATTGTTTAGTTGAAAATGGTGGTTCAGTTGGTTCGAATAAAGGTGTTAATCTACCTGGTACATTAGTAGATTTACCAGCATTATCGGAAAAAGATAAAAATGATCTTTTGTTTGGTATTGAACAACAAATTGATATTGTTTTTGCATCATTCATTCGTAATGCTGATGGTGTTAAAGTTATAAGAGATTTTTTGAAACAAAATGGTGGTGAAACAATTAAAATAATATCGAAAATTGAAAATCATGAAGGTGTTAAAAAAATTGATGAAATTCTTGAAATTAGTGATGGTATTATGGTAGCACGTGGTGATCTTGGTATTGAAATACCACCGGAAAAAGTTCTTTTAGCACATAAAATGATGATAGCTAAATGTAATACGGCTGGTAAATCGGTAATTTGTGCAACACATATGCTAGAAAGTATGATTAAAAAACCAAGACCAACACGTGCTGAAGTATCGGATGTTGCAAATGCTGTATTGGATGGATCGGATTGTGTTATGTTATCCGGTGAATCGGCTAAAGGAAATTATCCAATTGAATCCGTTCAAATGATGCATCGTATTTGTTTGGAAGCTGAAGCAGCTATACATTCAAGAAATTTATTTCATGAACTTGATTATATGACACCACCACCAACAAATGCAACAACAGCAACAGCTATTGCAGCTGTTTGTGCATCATTAAAAGTTGAAGCTTCGGCCATTATTGTCATTACATCGACCGGGCAAAGTGCTTATACAGTGGCTAAATATCGACCAAGATGTCCAATAATTGCCATATCAAGAAGTAGACAAGTTTCACAGCAGGCACATCTTTTCCGTGGATTATTACCAATTTATTATACACAACCACGTAAAGAAGAATGGACAAATGATATGGATGCTAGAATTGAATTTGGTATTCAATATGGAAGGAAACGTGGTTTTATTCAATCAGGTGATTCAGTTGTATTGATAACTGGTTGGCGACAAGGTTCTGGTTATACAAATACAATGCGTATAATTACTGATTTACCTTGATCATTATAATGAAACAAATTTTTAAATTTTTCTTTTTTTCAATTTATAAATCTAACAATCAAAAAAAAAAACAAATAAATTTACAAATTAGAAATTCCGTCACCTTTTTTATGAACGGTATTCGAAATCGAATTGTTCTTGTTACAAACTAAAAAGGTTAAATCCAGCGAAAAAGGTAGTGGTTCAATTGAAAGTAAGAAATGGCCATGATGAAATCAACAGAAATGGATGCGCAGAAGCGATTTGATTTTAGAATGTCGTGTATTCTTATTGCACATTTTCTTGCTTGCTTGCTGTGTGTGTGTATCATCATCATCATCAGTATTTATAGTGATTGTCCTTTTACATTGAATTTTGAAGAACAATTTTCTTTTTCATTATCATCCTCGCGCCGGATTTGTATGTTTCGATTTTTTTTTCTTTTTGATTCGATTTTTAATTAATTTTTTTTAATTTTTTTTCTTTAGAATTTACTTAATTATTTATTCATTTAGGTTATTGTTAAATTTAGATTTTTATTTTAATTTATTTTTCCAAACTACGACAACGACGACGATTTTAAAAAAATGGGAGCTGGAAACGCCGAAAAAGGAAAGAAAATTTTTGTACAACGTTGTGCTCAATGTCATACGGTCGAAAAAGATGGTGGCCATAAAACTGGTCCAAATCTAAATGGTTTGATTGGCCGTAAAACTGGCCAAGCACCCGGTTTCGAATATACCGATGCAAATATTAAAAAAGGTTTGAATCTCATTCAAGTTTTAAGCAAATTCAAATTTATCCATTTTCTTTTTTTTTCACAAATCAAAGGAATCACATGGAGTCATGATACATTATTCGAATATTTGGAAAATCCAAAAAAATACATACCCGGTACAAAAATGGTGTTTGTTGGTCTGAAAAAAGCACAAGATAGAGAAGATTTGATTGCCTATTTGGAACAATCAACCAAATAAATGAAACATTAACAACAACAACAACATTTGAAAATTGTATCAAACAGCTCTATCATTTCTTTGATTCTTAACAACAACAACAAAAAAATTATTTAAAAATTTTACAGATTCCATCGTTTCTTTCCCCTTTACACACACACACCATACACACATATACATCTATATTTAAGAAATGAAATGAAATAAATTTTAGGATAATTATTAATGAACGAAAAAAAAATTGATTGATTTATTCAAAGTGTGTTTCATGCAAAAAAAAAATAAAATAATATTGAATATTCTTCTGTTTCTACAGTTTCTCACGAAAATGAACCTTAATGAACAGAATATTTAATTCATTGAGGAAAAAAAGAAGAATGTGCGACAAAATCGATGATTTTTGATGATAATTTTGTTGATGATGATGATGATGATGAAAAAAGGATGGTAATATCATTTCATTCTTTTGAATTATTAAATTCATTCGATTTACCATTACCATTATTATTATTCGAATTGTTGTTGTTGTTGTTACCATTTTTTACCATATACATAAATTTATTGATAACATCTTTTTCATTTACATCCAATGAACGAAAATGTCGTTGAATTTCCTATTTTTTTGTTATGTAATTAAGAAAAAATATTAATTAGAAAATTTTCTTCCTTAATTAAATTTATACTTACATCAGCTAATTGATTTTTATTACTTGCATGTTTAATTGGTAAACGAAAATGACGTTTATATTTACGTAATGTATTTACTTGTAAACTATGAAAATCTATTGGTGATGATGATGATGTTGTTGATGTATATGATGATGGTTGCTGTTGTTGTTGTTGATGATGTTGTAATCCATATTTTCCACTATTATTCATATGATGATGAGAATGATGATGATGATGTATAGATGAATTTACATTCATTATTGATGGTACAATTGAATGTTGTATCATTTCATTCGATGAATCATTCATTAAACCATTAAAATCATTCATTGAAAGTTCATCATCAATCATACCGATACCATCATCATTACCAATCATATTTACATCTTTACGTTTACGTTTACTATTCGTACGTATTGATTGTATTATTTGTTTATGATGTTCACAAATATATGCATGCGATGAACGTGGATCAACAATTAGCTGTAATTTTCTTTGGGCTACCTGTTTTTCGATACGTTTCGAATATGATGCATTACCTGCATTTCTTGTACATTTTGTACCATTTTCAATCAAACAACATAAAGATAATGCATTATTATTATTATTATTATTTGTTGTTGTTGCTATTGTCGTAATCGTATTTGGATTATTCGTTATTGTTGTCGAAGCTGTTGTTGTTGTTGTTATTGTTGATGGTGTAGCCGCCGATACTGATACTGATGTCAAATTCATATTAACAAGATTAGTGATTGTTCCAATTATATTACCACCACCACCACCACCACTACCAGTAGTGATAATTGTCGAACCAATATTACCACCATTCAATGTTGTTGTTGTTGTTGGTGGATTTATAGTTGTTATCTGATAATTTATTGAACTATTATTGTTCGATTGTTGTTGTTGTTGTGGATTGATTCCCATAATTTCTTTTTTTGCGGTTTCCTGAATCTTGAATATAATTAATGTTTATATTCGATGATCATAATCATTGAATCTTTTGATTTTTGTTTGTTTGTTTGTTTGTTTGTTGACAACATTGATTCACATTAATATCATATGAATCTCGCGTCGTCGTTTGATGTTCGCCATACTCCATATTGAAGACACAATATTCAAGGGAGGAGCTTATTTGTTCCGAGAGAGAAAGAGAGAGGAAGAATCTTTTTCCATCCAATCCAAACTATTTGGGTAGATTTTGACAGCAGCTGATTCGAATTTCGAAATTTAAACTTTGATGACTATCAATTTGCAATGAATTTGGTTTCGAAAACATTTTTCCATTTGCAAAGAAAAGAAAAAATATGGATCCAAACGTAAAACTTTATTTTTGTCCAACAAATTTAAATAATTCATTATTAATCAATGATAATAATGATAATTGTTCATCTGGTTTTTATAAATGTATCGGTTTTGAACGTGGTTTTCTTCAACAATGTAAATTTTCTTCAAATTTACAAAGTGATTTTCATTCACATCTTCAACATGAACATGAATTTACGAAATATTTTTGTCGATATTGTTTTCTAAAAGATTCTTCAAATGTTTGTTTTTCTTTTTCATTTACCTTTATATTGGAAATTTTATCTTTTCGTTTTTATTTCAGAGAAGATATTTTCGAAGTCCAATCGCTTTGATCACTCATTTGGATAAGATACATAAAAATCAACATTTTCAATGTAATTGTTGTTCATATCGTGCCATAACTGCTGATCATGTTAATCTACATCAATTATTTTGTCATCAAAATGTTTGTCAAGAAAATCGTTGTATTTATCAAAAAACACCGCCACAAAATTCCTCATTGAAATTGAAATATTTTTATGATAAATACCGGATTGAACATATAGCTGAAAATCGATATCGATATCAATGTCTTTATTGTAAATATTGTTCGAATATATTTCAAGAAACTATTCAACATTTGGTTCGTTTACATCCTGAATTTCCATTACTTTATTATGATGATAGTGATGATGATGATGATGAATTTTCCACTAATATCAACAACAACAACAACATTCAAACATTATCGAAGGATGGTGATCATCATCATATAAATAATCGAAAATTTATTAACGTTCGTAATAATGCTATTAATCAAAATACGAATGAATTTTGTTGTTTTTTCTGTGATGAAAAATTTTCTTTAAAGAAAAAAATTCGTGATCATTTGATTCAACATTTATTTGATTCAAATGAAAAAATTCGTCATGAATTTTTTGAAAATTGGATACAAACATTCATATCAAAACAACATTACTTTAAAGAATTTTATCCACAATGTCCAATTTGTTTGAAATTAGGATACAATCCTATTGAACCGAAAATTGTTTCCAAATTTGTAAATAGTAATAATCAACATAAAGAACATTATATGGAACATTCATCATTTCAAAAATTTAAATGTTTAATTTGTTTTAATGATCAACAGATTGATTATTGGCTAAAAGATTCATATCATTATATTATTAATCATATGAATGAATTTCATTCGGAACAAATTCAAAAATCAATACCATATGATTTTAAAAACAATAATATTATTCTTTGGCAACAAATCAAACATTTTTTACAGGAAAAATCTATACTTATGGAATATACTGCAGCAAACATTGAAATAATGAAACATTTTAATAATGATAATCTAAATGCATTGAAACGATTGGAAGAACAATATCAACGACATTTGTCATTATTTTTTTTTTGGTTGAAAAGATAAGATAAATGAAAAATTTTATTGACTTGGTTATATAATTTTTTTCAGAAATAATAAAAAAGTGTTAATAAATTATTCGGGCTACCATGGGACAAATCAAAAATCAAAGTTCAAAGTTCAAATCATGTGTTAATCATCACAGTCATCATTATCATTATTATTATTAAAATTACAATTTATCAATTTTTTATTTGTAGGATAAATATGAGGAAATTGTAACCAATTCTGTCCATTACTACTACGACGACGTTTATTTAAACGTTGTTGCTGATGATGGTGATTGTGATTCATTGAAACACGTGCACGTATTGCATCGAATAATATTTCATTTAATAAACGAATTAGATTATCAATTCCTAATATAAAACCATAATCACATGATGATGTTGATGGCGGCGGTGATGATGATGATGATGTTGATGATGATGGATAATTGAATGATGTATGTGCAAAATCAATCAAACGAATATCGAATCCAGGTATGTTGTTTGTGCAGGTAGTTGCAGATGATGATCGAGAATAATGAGGATGATCACGATTACAATTAAAAAGAATATCTTTATTATTATCAACATTATTAAATGATGTGGATGTTGATGGTGATTCTTCAGTCATTGAATCAAGACTAGATGATGTACATTCATCATCATCATCATCATCATCGTCATCATGGTCATTATTGGCGATTATATCATTTTGGGCAGTATAAAAATTATCATATTGATAGAAATAATTATCTTGTTCATCATCTGAATCATCTGAATTTGAATCAGCATCTTCTTCTTCTTCTTCTTCTTCGTCATCGGAGAATCTCCGATGATGATGATGATGATGCGGTGGTTTTCGTTCCGAATGATGATGATGATGATGACGGTGATTGTGACGATTGACAACATCCAAACAACCTTCCGTTACAATTAATAATGATGTGGAAAAAAATCTTAATGTTGTTTGTCGTAATGTTTCAATTATTTTTAATTTTAATTGTTTTAATCTTGATATGATTGGACGAATTAGATAGGTACGATTATGGAAATAAATCTTTTGGAAAGGAGAAAAAATGAAATGATTAATGATTAATGAAAGAAATGAATTGAATGAAATATTACCTCAAGTTCATTACGAAAACCATTTTCATTTTTAATACGACGACCATGATATTTATCACGTTGATATAATTTATATTGATTTTTCGATGTTGTCGATGTTGTTGATGATGATAATTTTTTCTGATAAACTTGCATACCACAAATCCGAATACCTAATGTAGCGGATGTTGTTGATGCACATTTAGCCATTTGTCGGCGACGTTTTTCATCCGATGCATCATCACTATGTTGTCGGGTACCCATTTTCAAATCCAATATACATGGTAGATGATAATTGGATGTTATATTTTCTAATAACATAAAATCTAAAATGAAAACAAGAAAAAAAAACAAATGATTCTTTGTTGTTCAGTTAAAAAAGATTCAAAGATTCAAAACATTACATTTTTGATTTGGACGAGAACTATATCCACGTTGTTGTTGTTGTTGTTCAAAATGATCGATTCGTATTGATTCCAATAAACGATGATCATCATTACAAATCGATAATCGTACACGTAATTCTGGTTTTTGTTGATTTTCATTTGATTGATGTTTATTATTATTCGATGATGATGATAAATTTCTTATCGGATGATATAATATTGGTAACATACTTTCATTATGACAAATTTTTACAACACCTTTATATCTTGGTACAAAATCAAATAATTGCCTGGGAATGTTTAGATAAAAATCCAATTCTTTTGGTATTAATGGTTTACAAAGGGTATATTGATTTAATAACATTATTTGTGTATGTCCACCAACTTGATGATTATATGGTAATAAACTAATAATATCTTCTTTAATATTTAATGTTGTTGTTAATTGATGATCAATCGATGATTGATCATTGATTTGGTTCGATGATGATTGATTTGAATCATGATTATCATTATTGATGATATTTTTAAAATAAATTGATGGTGTTGATGTTTGATAATGTTGATCATGATGATGATGATTTTGATTCGAATTCGAATGATAATAATTTGAAAGATCAAAATTCTTGAAACGTATCAATGAATTTGAACGATGTAATGATGATTGTGGATTGGTCGTTGTTGTTGTTGTGGTAATATTCCAGGAAATTTTTCGATAAGGTTTTGATGATGATGATCGATTATCATTATCATGATGAAATTGATATTTACCATCATCATCGGTTGTGGTTGTTGTTATTGGAAAATCGATCGATCCATTTGATGATTTAAACAATTCATCCAGATTATTTTGATGAATATTTTTCATTTTTGATTTGAAACACACATAAGAATGTTCACCATAAACAAACACAATTTTTCAAGTTTCTATTGATTAATTTTGGTCGGAAAAACACTGATTTTTTTACCTATTAGAAAAAGAAGAAACGAAAAACTGATAAAATTTTTGTTAAAACAAAATACAATCGGGTGTGAGTGCGGTGTGTTGTTGTGTATGGTGTGTGATATGTGGTGTGACAAAAAAAATGATTGCAACAGACTTTTGTTTTTTTTTAGGAAAAATGAAACCAAATATGAATGAATCATATTTCTCACACACACACACACATACAGACACAGAGTATCAATTATCGGTTACACTGAGAATATTTTAATGACAAAAACAAAAAAGAAAAATATAACCCCAGCAACAGCCATGTAATCAAGAATTGTGTGTTTGTTTGTTTTAATGCAACCGTTTTGCAAGCCAAAAAAAAAAATATTCTTTTCAAAGAATCTCTAACTAACTAACCAACCAACCAGAAAGAAAGTAAAAAAAAACATTTCATTCATAACTATTTTGTTGTTGTTGTTGTTCTTAGTTAATCCGGTAACGAAGAATGCACGCACTTATGAACGAAGAATTTTTTCTGCTTTTCACTATTCAGAATCGAAAAATGAATTGGCAGCATATTTTCTGTTGTTGTTGTTGTTGTTGTTGTTGTTTTTCTAACTGCGATATGCAGAGAGAGAGAGAGAGAGATGTATTTTTTAAGAAAAACATCAACATTCAAAACAGTAAAAATGCAAAAAAAAGAAAGAAGGAAAGATGAAGGCTCAACCACCACTCTCACCACCACTCATTACATTCAGTTATATGAAAATATTCATTTTCTCCTTCTCCATCACCATATTGATATTCACATGTTTTTTATTTGATTGAAAATTGCAGTTATTTTAGTCATACGATTTTTTTTCAAATTTTTTTGATGAAATTAACGTCATCATAATCATGATGATGATGATTAAATTTATCTCATGATTTTAGGTAAACATTTTCATTGCTTTGCTTTTAGAAAACTTTTATCTCGAAATCATTGATGATGAATGATTCGACAAACAAACCTGATTACTGTGTTTAAGGTATGTTTATTGGTCACTTTTTGGTGTTTTTTGATTCAAACAAGAAAAACATTCTATGTCGTTCAACCAAGCAAACGAAAAAATGATGCGTAGATTTTGTATTCACGTTCGTCGTCGTTGTCGAAATTCTCAATGAATGAATGAATGAATGAATGAATGATCCACTCATAATTCAATGAACTTTTTCATTGTTACGATGTGGATTGAAATGGAACCAAAAAAAAAATCATCATCAATGGATCCCCCAATGCACACACAGAAACAGAACAAACAAAACAAAACAAACAAAAAGGTGCACGAAGGCAATATAGCAACACATATGAATTCAATGAACTTTTCACCAAAAAAAAAAACAAGAAAAGAATATTCTTGTTTTTTTTGTTTCATCCCAACCAAACACCCGATACATGCCACTACTACCGTATTACCGTATTATACTACCGTATTATTATTGAATGAATTTTCTTTCGTTTTTCGTACATCGTACATCATCCTAATCATAAGATGCTTACCCTTTTTTGTTTCAAACGGATGCTAAAAACAAACGAAAAATGATGATGATGATGATGATGATAATGAGGATTGAACACTATTCGATTATTTTTAGTATAGAAAAATTGATAAACTATTGATTGATTGGAAAAACAAAACGTCATTTCCTTTTTTTACTATCTTTTCTATCTTCACTTTTTGTTCTTTATCATGATTAGACAATAATAATAATGGATTTTGGTGTTTGTTTGTGTGTGTGATTAGCATATTTATCAAATCATTTAATGAAAGATTGATTGATTGATTGATTGATTGATTGATTGATTGATCGATCGATCGATCGACAGCCGTCTAACCTGATAAATGAAAACAGAAAATCAATTTTTTTTCTTCTGGATTGATTCGATTTGTATTAACCACCAAATTTGGTAGTTAAAAAACATAGCAGTCGTAGTTTTTAAACACACATTGACTATCACATCATTTTTTTTGCATTTTATCAACAAAAAAATTTTCCATTTTTGTTTCGAAAAAAAATATGGAAAATTTTTCGTAAAAAAAAAACTTTTCCAATCGAAAAAAAACAAAACAAAATGATGGATTGACCTTTGAAGGTTGTGTGTGTTTTTTCTATGTTTCCGATTGGAACAAAGTTACAAATCAAATCAAAATGATTCAAACAACAATTTCAACAACAATGAAACAAAAAAAAAATTAAATAGACACTTACCCGATCGGAAATTGATTGATTTTTTAAAAAACAAATGGCAGCACAAAATAAAGAGAGAAACACAAATGCTGAAATGAAATAATATTTTTTTTTTTTTTTTTGAAAAGGAAAAACAAAAAGTATCAATCGAAATGGAATATCCAATGTGTTGTATTTATATGTGTGTGGAAACAGAAAACAAAAAACAGCTAGATTTATTTATTTATTTAGATTTCTCTCTCAAACAGAAATACGTGTGTATGCTTGCGTGAATCTATCCACACACACACACACACAAACATCCAATTCAAGTGATTAATCAATCAATCAATCAATCAAACACAAGCACACTTGAAGATTACAACAAAAAAAGTCTTATGTACATACATACATCATCGATTTGATTTGAAAAAACGGATGGATGGATACATCTTATCACATGTTTTTTTTTTTGTTGGATTTTGAACACACGCAAATGAATGAATCAAAGTTTATTATTATTTTTGGTGTGATAAACTAAAAAAAATTGTCATCCAAAAGTGTGCTGTGTTTTTTGGATTGATTGATTGATTTATTAATAAGTGATAATTGTGTGTAACCAGAGAAAAGAAGAAAAAGATAAAGAAATTCTTATCTTAGCAGTAGAGAGAAAATGGATTTTGTCCATTTTGTTTATCATCGTTCAATCAATCAATCAATGGAGAAAACGAGAAAAATCTGTAAGAAAAACAAATCGCTTACCACTTGTTGATGTCTTATTGTTGATGATGTTTTGAAACCCAAAAAAACAAACACTCGTTACAAAATGATAAACATTGGAAAATTTTCATAGGAATATTTTTTTNGAAAGAAACATTTGAAGAAGGAAAAAAGCTTATTATCATCGTCATTTCATATGATGATTATCCAGATTTCATATGATGATGAAGAAGGAAGGAGGCAACCTGAGTATGATTCAGCAGAATCATTTGGTTTTTTTTGAAGGTGATTTTTTGCTTTTGATTCATAATGAAGCAAAATGGCAATAATTTGTTGTTGTTGTTGTTGATTGATAACAAATCATCACCGAATTACAAATGAATTTTTTAAACGAAAGGAGAATTCAAGGTAAAATACAATTCGATTACAAGCTGCAGAGATTGATTATGTTGTCGTGTGTGTGTGTTTCGAGATAAATACTTTTTTCAAACTGTTTTGGTCGCGAATTAAGTAAACAAAAAAAAAATTTGTTTATTTTCATAGAGAAAAACAACAAAATAAGAGAAAGAGATAAGCATCCAAATAAATGTATTTTTTCCGGCTGTTTATGTAATCGATCAATCGATCGATTGATTGATTAATCGCGAACAATAACCTTCTTTTTTTCTTTTTCAAATATTTTTGTTTTTCCCGCTTTTACGATACATAAATCAAATTGTTAAAAACTATCATCACTAGATGTCGTTACTAGGTGCGAAAATTTTTATATAATTTTTATTTACAAAAATTCAATTTTCTAATTTTTGTTGTTGTTTTTTTCCCTATAAATTCCAGAATATAAATCAAAAATTTTTTCCCGTTAAAACAAAATAATTTAACTTACGACAAGTGAAACCAAAAAAAAAATGACTCGAACAAACGATGAAGATAATGATGGCCATCCAAAAACAATGAATAAAAAAATTATCCGTTCAGCCAAATCTGCAAAATCAGTAATCGGTAATGATCGAAATCGATTATATAATTTTCGTTTAAACGTATGTGGTTCACAAAAAATATCACAATTACGTTTACAATTTATTTTACAACCATTTAGAATATTATTTGAACAATTTCCACAACAAATAAAAGAATTACAAACGATGATTGATGATTTTAATTATATTGATGATAGCAACAACGGTGGTGGTAGCCAAACAACAACAAAAAACTGTAATCAATCTTTGAATAAAGATCATATGGATAAACAAAAAAATTCAACAAAAATCACTACCACCACCACCATCAATGCAACCATAATGAAGGCAACAAACATGTCAAAAATGTTTTTACTTAATCAAAAATCTAAACAACAACAACAACAACATTGTTGTTGTAATTATAATTATCATCATATACCATTATTTTTAACATATAATGGTTATATTGATTCAGATCAAGATTTAATGAT